GAGGGTGACCAGCAGAGCGATGGCAGCAGCTGCCTCTGGCTGATCTGCCCTCCCCGAAGCCTGCCCGTGCCAAGGTGCACATTCTGAGATGTCCCATAGCTGGCAGAGCCACAGAGCCACAGAATCGCTCAGCCCCTGGGGACAGGTCACTTCAACATGTTTATACTCCATTTACACGCAGGCCGCTGTTGCTTTCTGCTGGTATTTATGCCCTCCGGAATAATTTGTGTGGTCTATTTCTGGAGCGTCCCTCATGGCCGAGGGCGCTGGGAGCGAGGGCCGAGTCTGTTGGCTTCCCCAGGGGTCTCAGGCAGCTGGGCAGCCCCGCCCCACCCAGGGACTACCCGCTCCTGGCAGTCTGGTGACTCGCGGGGAGGGGGTGTCCAGGGCTCTTTCTGAGTGTGTGGGGGTCCCTAGGAAGAGGCCACGCCTGACCAGTGATTGCCACTTACTGTGGTGATAATTTGCTGTTGTCCTTGAAGCAATTATAGATTTCATGTATCCAGGCAATACTTGCAAATTGGATATGGGACAAGCAGGGACAGAGACGTCATTCAAAAACCAAAGAGCCGGAGGGAAATTGATGAGCATAGGTTGTTGCAGAATGCCTTACGTCCCTCTGAGGTGGGGAGAGGCCACCTCGTGGATGACCCTAGCACAGCCTCTTTTTTTCGGGGGGGGGGACAGAATTGCTCTGTTGCACAGGCTGGAGTGCGGTGGCACAATCTCAGCTCACTGCAACCTTCTAGGTTCAAGCAGTTCTTCCTCAGCCTCCCAAGTAGCTGGGATTACAGACACCCACCACCATGCCTGGCTAATCTTTATATTTTTAGTAGAGACAGGGTTTCACCATGTTGGCCAGGCTGTTTTCAAACTCCTGACCTCAAGTGATCCACCCACCTCGGCCTCCCAAAGTGCTGGGATTACAGGCGTGAGCCATCTGGGCAGGCCAAGCATTTTCTTTAAATTCAAGTTTATCAAGTATAACTTACGTACAGCAAAATTCACCCCTTTTTAGCAGAGTTCCTTGGGTTTTGACAAATTTACATGATCTTGTGAGGTTTTTGGTGTTTTCTTTCTTTGTTCCCAGTAATGACTGTAAGCAAGGTTTTTGGTTTTTGTTGAGATGGATTCTTAATCACCCAGGTGGGAGTGCAGTGGCGCAATCTCAGCTAACTGCAACCTCCGCTTCCTGGGTTCAAGAGATTCTCCTGCCTCAGCCTCCTTAGTATCTGGGATTACAGGCGAGCACCGCCACACCCAGCTAATTTTTGCATTTTTTTTTATAGAAACAAAGTTTCACCAGGCTGGCCTCAAACTGGTGACCTCAGATGATCTGCCGCCTCCGCCTCCCAAAGTACTGGGGTTAGAGGCGTGTGCCACCGTGCCCAGCCTGAATTTATATGAATTTTTCTTTTTCCTTTTTTTTGAGATGGAGTTTTGCTCTTGACACCCAGGCTGGAGTGCAGTGGCGCAATCTTAGCTCATGGCAACCTGTGCCTCCCAGGTTCAAGTGATTCCCTGCCTCAGCCTCCCAAGTAGCTGGGACTACAGGCACACACCGCCACACCCAACTAATTTTTGCATTTCTTGTGGAGACAGGGTTTCGCCATGTTGGCCAGGCTGATCTCAAACTCCTGACCTCAGGTGATCCGCCACCTCAGCCTCCCAAAGTGCTGGGATTACAGGCATGAGCCACTATGCCCGGCCTCAATTTATATGAATTTTTTTTTCTTTTGAGACGTAGTTTCGCTCTTGTCACTGAGGCTGATGTGCAGTGATGCAATCTCAGCTCAATGCCACCTCTGCCTCCCAGGTTCAAGTGATTCTCTGCCTCAGCCTTTCAAGTAGCTGGGATTACAGGCGTGCACCGCCACACCTGGCTAATTTTTGCATTTTTTTGTAGAGACAGGGTTTCACCATGTTAACCAGGCCTGTCTCGAACCCCTGACCTCAGGCGATCTACCCCCTTCAGCCTCCCTAAGTAGTGGGATTACGGGTGCGAGCCGCCGCACCTGGCAATTTATATGAATTTACATGATTTTGTAACCATTGCCACAATCAAGAGGCTCAACCCGGCCGGGCGCGGTGGCTCAAGCCTGTAATCCCAGCACTTTGGGAGGCCGAGGCAGGTGGATCACGAGGTCAAGAGATCGACACCATCCTGGTCAACATGGTGAAACCCCGTCTCTACTAAAAATACAAAAAATTAGCTGGGCATGGTGGCACGTGCCTGTAATCCCAGCTACTCAGGAGGCTGAGGCAGGAGAATTGCCTGAGCCCAGGAGGCGGAGGTTGTGGTGAGCTGAGATCGTGCCATTGCACTCCAGCCTGGGTAACAAGAGTGAAACTCCGTCTCAAAAAAAAAAAAGGCCCATCCCCCCCAAATTTCCCAGTGCCCCTCTTTAGTCAGTGCCTACCCATCCCCTGGCAACCGCACATCATTCGTCTGTATAGTTTGGCTTCTTCCAGAATGTCATGAATGGAATCATACAGTATGGAGTCTTGTGGGCTTGGCCGTAGATGCACTTGAGATCTGTCCGTGTTAAAGCATGAATCAGTAGTCTGTTTCTTTTCACTGCTGACCCATATTTCCTTGTGTGGATGTCCCATACTTATCCTCTCTCCAGTTGAAAGGAGGACACTTGGGTTGTTTCCAGTTTAGGGCAATTACAAACAAAGGCAATATGCATTGGCATCTAGGCCTCTGTGTGGGCACCTGCTTTCACTTTTCTTAGGTGAATACCCAGGCATAGGATAGCTGAGGCTGGAGGGTCATTGTGTGCTGAACTTTATAGGAAACTGCTGGCCGGATGCAGTGGCTCACGTCTGTAATCCTAGCAATTGGGAAGCCAAGGAGGGAAGATTGCTTGAGGACAAGAGTTCAAGACCAGCCTAGACAACATAGCAAGACCTCATCTCTACAAACAGTTTTAAAAACTAGCTAGACAGTGCAGTCACAGTGGCTCATGCCTGTAATCCCAGCACTTTGAGAGGCCAAGATGGGCAGATCACCTGAGGCCAGGAGTTCAAGACCAGCCTGGCCAACATGGAGAAACCTTGTCTCTACTAAAAATACAAAAATTAGCCAGACATGGTGGTGGCCACCTGTAATCCCAGAAACTGGGGAGACTGAGGCAGGAGAATCACTTGAACCTGGGAAGCAGAGGTTGCAGCGAGCCAAAACCATGCCACTGCACTCCAGCCTATGGAATACAGCGAGACTCTGTCTAAAAAAAAAAAAAAAACAATAGCAGGACAAGGTAGTAGGGAAGTGTATGCCTGTACTTCCAGCCTGCTCAGGACGCAGGAGTTCAAGGCTGTCATGAGCTGTGGCTGCGTCACAGCACTCCAGCCTGGGCAACAGGGCAAGACCCTGTCTCTAAGAAGAATAAAGAACTGCCAAATGGATGTTTGAAGGGCTGGGCCATTTTCTACTCCCACCAGCAGCATAAGAGAGTTCCAATGGCTCCATGTCCTTGCAGATATTTTCAGGAGTAAATTTTAAAAAGGAGCTGTAGATGAGGGGGCTGCAGGGCAGCTGACAGGAGAGGAGGCCAGGGAGGAGAGTGGCCCATGGGCACTGCAGCCACCCCGCCCCCTGCAACACTGTCACTCAGATCCCATTCCGGTTGCATCTTTGCCGCTTGCCTGGTGATGGGGTTTGGCTATGTCCCCACTCAAATCTCACCTTGAATTGTAGTAATCTCCACGTGTCAAGGGTGGAGCCACGTGGACATAACTGAATCATGGGGGTGGGTTTTTCCCATACTGTGCTTGTCCTAGTGAATAAGTCTCACGAGATCTGATGGTTATAAAAAGGGCCATTCCCTTGCACACACGCTCTTGACTGCCGCCATGTAAGACGTGCCTTTGCTCCTCTTTTGCCTTCTGCCATGATTGTGTGGCCTCCCCAGCCATGTGGAACTGTGAGTCCACTAAACCTTCCTCTTTCCTTTATAAATTACCCAGTTTCAGATATGTGTTTATTAGCAGCATGTGAACAAACAAATACACCTGGGTTACTCATGGGCCTCTTTCTGTCCCGGCTCCCCTTGATGGATGGGGGTGCAGAACCCATGCCTGGCTTTGTCCTGGAGAGCCAGGACACCAGATAGGTGGCCAGGGGTCCGTTTCCTCCAAGCCTCTGCCTGTGCACACTGAGACTCACCATCTCTGCCTGTGATACCCTGTAGAGTGCAGTGGGCATGGTTCTGGCTACATGGGGAACAGGGACACGGGCGTTAAGGGGGTGATGACCCCCATCACCCAGGGACCAAAAGCCTCAAAACCCCGCTTGAGGGCCACCTGGACACATAGCTGGGCACCAAAGGGATGCCCAGGATCAAGACCAACAGGGTCAGGGTTCCAGTCCCTGTCCTTGGGGAATTGGTCTTGTTTTGGGGAGAAATGAGCAACATTCCTCCCAGGCTGAGTGGTGATATCAGAGGTGCTGTGAGTTGGGGCAGAGAGCCATGTCCCAAAAATGTCACAGATGGTTATACCCCTGTCTTCAAGGATGGAATGTAAACTGAGGGCCAGGCCGTCGGCCAGCTGGTGGGAATAAGGCATTTTGATGACTGGGCTCTCCAGCGTTGCTGAGGCCAGGACAATGGGAGGGGAGATGGGGACAGACGCCTAGAAGTTACAGTGGCGGGGCTGTGAAAAAGACAGCTCCTCTGCCTGACTGGCACCGGAGTCACCCTTCAGCCACTTCTCCCCTCCAGGAAAAAGTGGGATCCCAGGCCTGGATAGAATCATAGGGGCTGACTGGCTCAGAGGTCCCCAAAGATTACAGGGTTATAGTGGAGACAATCAGCAATCTCTATGGCTCTCCTGAGTCAGGACTGCATAGGGGGACATGAAGGAAAAGATCACCCAGCAGCCTGGGGCTAGAGCTCTGGGTAAACTGAGTCATCATCCCTGGGGCACGAGTGGGCAGCTGCCCCAGGGGACCTACTTGGACTAATGAGATCTTCCGTGTCTGTCTGTCCATCCAGGTGCAAGTTCTTCAGCCTGACCGAGACGCCAGAGGATTACACTATCATTGTAGATGAGGAGGGATTCCTAGGTAAGGGTTACTCTCCCTAGGGGCTTGGCTGGACCACTCCGGCTGGTCACCTCTTCGTTTCTGCCCCAACCCACCTCCTTATTTCTGCCCCCATCTACTGGTCAGCTAGAAAAATAGCAGAGTAGCTGAGCTCGATGACTCACACCTGTAATCCCAGCACTTTGGGAGGCGGAGGCGGATGGATCATGAGGTCAGGAGTTCAAGACCAACCTGGCCAAAACGGTGAAACCCCCATCTCTACTAAAAATACAAAAAAAAAAAAAAGCCAGGTGTGATGGCAGATGCTTGTAATCTTAGCTACTTGGGAGGAGAAGCAGAGGTTGCAGTGAGCTGAGATCGTGCCACCGCACTCCAGCCTGGACAATGGAGCGAGACTCCATCTCAAAAAAAAACCAGCAGTGTATTTCCTTCTGTCCCTGGATTCTGGAGGGTCCCCTCCCCTCCTGCTCTTGATATTGCCCTAGGAAGGGCTCCTGAGCTAAAAGCGTCAGTAGGTATGACGTTACCCAGCTGAGAATTAGATCAACCAAGAAAGAAAAGGAACATGTTTCACTGAAACCTGCAAAGTGCTTTAAAACATCCTCAGCTGGGCGCAGTGACTCACGCCTTTAATCCCAGCACTTCGGGAGGCTAAGGTGGGAGGATCGCTTGAGCCCAGGAGTTCAAGACCAGCCTGGACTTAGTAAGACCCTATCTCTGCTGAAAAATTATTTTAAATTAGCTGGACATGATGGCATGTTCCTGTGGTCGCAGCTACTTGAGAGACTGAGGCAGGAGGATTGTTTGAGCCCAGAAGTTGGAGGCTGCAGTGAGCTATTTCACCATTGCTTTCTCGTCTAGAACACAGAGCAAGACTCCATCTCTTTTAAAAAAAAGAGAGAGAGAGAGGGAGAGAGAGAGAAGTGCCTAGCTGGCAAGAGCACATTTAAGAGGACTTCCCAGAGAAGGCAGCACTTGAAGTGAACCCAGCTAAAAGAGTAAAAAGCCGCCAGACATGGTGGCGGACACCTCTACTCCCAGCTGCTTGGGAGGCTGAGGAGGATTACTTAAACCCAGGAGTTTGAGACTGTAGTATGCTGTGGTCACACCTGTGAATAGTCGCTGCACTGCAGCCTGGGCAAAATAATGAGAACCTGTTCCTTTTATGTATTTATTTATTTTTTTGGAGACGGAGTCCCGCTCTTTTCCAGGTGGAGTGCAAGGGTGCAGTCTCGGCTCACTGCAGCCTCCACCTCCCAGCTTTAAACCATTCTCCTCCCTCAACCTTCTGAGTAGCTGGGATTACAGGCACCTGCCACCACACCCAGCGAATTTTTGTATTTTTTTTTAGGTTTCACCCTGTTGGCCAGGCTGGTCTTGAACTCCTAACCTCAGGTGATCCTTCCACCTCAGCCTCCCAAAGTGCTGGGATTACAGGCGTGAGCCACCATGGCTGGCCTGAGTACCTGTTTCTAAAAAAGAAAAAAATTAAATGTCCCCGTCAAGATGGAAAACGTTAAGGGAAGGGACACTTTCTAGGCAGAGAACCCCATGTGTGTGCAGCCATGCCTTCCAGTACTGGGGACACACTTGGCAACCCCAGGGAACTAGAGTGTGAGAAAAGAGACAGGAGGACATGGCTTGCCTGGGGGAGGAGGGATGGGGAAGGTTCCTCCATGTGGCTGTACATACATGGGCTTCTCTGCCTGGAAAGCATCCCTCCCTTAATGGTTTCCACCTGGCACGGGAGCACTTAAATTTAATGACTTTTTTTTTTTTTTGAGACGGAGTTTCGCTCTTGTTACCCAGGCTGGAGTGCAATGGCGCGATCTCGGCTCACTGCAACCTCCACCTCCTGGGTTCAGGCAATTCTCTTGTCTCAGCCTCCTGAGTAGCTGGAATTACAGGCACGCGCCACCGTGCCCAGCTAATTTTTTGTATTATTAGTAGAGACAGGTTTAACCTTGTTGACCAGGATGGTCTCAATCTCTTGACCTTGTGATCCACCTGCCTCAGCCTCCCAAAGTGCTGGGATTACAGGCGTGAGCCACCATGCCCGGCCCTTCTTTTTTTTTTTTTTTTTTAAAGAAGCAGATGCTTGCTACTTTGCCCAGGCTGGAGTATAGGTGTGATCATAGACAGCCTAAAACTCCCGGGCTCAAGCAGTCCTCCCACCTCAGCCTCCCAAGTAGCTGAGAGTGAGAGGCGTGCGCTGCCGTGCCTGGCTCTACACTACTTCCTCAACTCCCTCCTGTCCTTTATTTGGGTTAGAAGAAGCTTGGGGAAACTTCTGCAACGTGGCTCTTTCTGGGGACTCAAAAGAGGAAGCTCCTGATGAGCTCACGTGCCAGGATTCACTCAAGGTGGTGGCAAAAGTATTTAAGGAAGAATATTAAAAATAGCTTTAAAGAGTCACCACAAACCTTCTTAGGAGGCCGAAAGTTTTTACACAGTTTCAGTAAAAGTCTCAGCTAAAAGCAGCCTAAATCCTCTTTACATTTAGTTATATTAAAAAGCAAGTAACTAAAATAGAGGAGTTTATCTAAATAACTTATTTACTCACGTAGTCTTAAAACTAATCTTTAAGCCAGATAGCCCTCTCAAAAAAAAGGCAACCGATAATATTACCCACTAATAGTGTTTGTTTTAAGCCTCAAAACCTGCCCTTTCATCTTCCACCCCTAGTAGTGTTGACTTAAAGCTTCTGTCATTCAATGTGTGCTAAATAAAAGCCAGAGGCTGGCATGTAAAAGCCAGCAGTCACAACTTTACAGCACTCTGCAGAGTCTGTAAACAGCCCACTCAGTCAAACTAGCAAAACATAGTATCTGTGTGTCAGTGTACTTTATTAAGTACATCATTAAGTCAGCATCTGCAAGACAGACCCCAACAAGTAGACCCCAACACACATGATCTTGGAGGACTTCCTGGAGGAGGGGATATTTTTGCTGGCCTTGTGGGGAAGGAAGAAAACATGTCAGGAGAGTTGAATGAGAAGGTACGGGTGCAGAAGCAAGGGCCAGGTCCAGCCTCTGAAAAAGGGGAAGACCGAGGTAGGCAGGGAACATTTGGCTCTTATTCTTTAGGCACTGCGGGGGGCATTGAAGGTTGTTGGGCCAGGATAGTCATCATTAGTAATGAGTTGGGGTAGAGTCCCCCTGGGGTGTGTGCAGGAGAGGGAACAGGGAGGGAAGTGGGAGCTTCCCGGGGGTGCATAAGCTCTGTTCAGATAGAGGTCATTGGGCCCAGGCTGAGACCCTCACTGGCACAGGGAAGGAATTGCCTGCAATCCTTCAAACCTGCCATTCCTCAGAGCCATCCATAATGGTCCTGTGACTTTTGATACTGCCTGGCCCTGCCCCTCCCCGAGCCTTTCCAGCCATAGGCGCAGCACTGAGGAACAAAGAGACCAGTGGGAAAGCAGGTTTCATTTAGCCCAGTGAGGCCATAGAGGAGAGAGCGTGGCCGGCCAGCCTTACCTCTGTGACTTTGGGGAAAAAGCTTGCCTTCCCGTGTGGTCAGCAAATCAGCCTGCTTGGGAATCCATTCTTGCCCAAGAAAAAAAAAATTGAGTACATTTTTTTTTCTTTTTCTTTCTTTCTGTTTTTTTTTAAGACGGAGTCTCACTCTGTCACCCAGGCTGGAGTGCAGTAGCGTGATCTCAGCTCATGCAACCTCTGCATCCCGGATTCAAGCAGCTCTCCTGCCTCAGCCTCCCAGGTAGCTGGGATTCCAGGCATGCACCACCATGCTCAGCTAATTTTTTTGTATTTTTAGTAGAGATGGGATTTCACCACATTGGCCACGCTGGTCTTGAACTCCTGACGTCTGGTGATCCCCTCGCCTTAGCTGCTGAAAGTTTATGAGCCACTGAGCCTGCCCTCTTTTTTCACTTTGAGACGAGGTCTCACTCTGTCACCCATGTTGGAGTACAGGAATGCCACCATATTCTCACTGCAACCTCAAGCTCCTAGGCTCAAAGGATCATCTTACCTTAGCCTCCTGAATGGCTGCGACTACAGAAGTGTGTCACCACACCTGGCTAATTTTTTTTTTTTTTTTTAAAGAGATGGAGTCTTGCTATGTTGTCCGGGCCAGTTTTGAACTCCTGGCCTCAAGCAGTCCTCCTGCCTCTATTTCCCCAATGCTGGATTACAGGCTTGAGCCACCACGCCCAACCTGTGCATTTATTTAAGTAGAATCTCCTGCACCCTTTCTTTGGGGTTGCAGGTAGGGGAGATACACAGAATAAGACCCCCCATTCCTCACCCCTGCTAAACTTAGGATCACTCTAGTGGCCTGAAGAGTAAAGACTAAACACCACCAGCCACAGTGGTTTACTGTAATCCCAGCACTTTGGGAGGCTGAGGCAGGAGTTCAAGAACAGCCTGGGCAACACAGCAAGATCCCATCTCTACAAAAAATAGAAACATTAGCCAGGTGCCTTGGTGTACACCTATAGTCCCAGCTGCTGCTTAGGAGGCCAAGGTGGGAGGATTGCTTGAGCTTGGAAGTTCAAGACAAGCCTGGGAAGCATAGTGAGATCCTATCACTACAAAAAATACAAAAACTTACCCAGGCATGGTGGCATGTTCCTGTAGTCTGAGCTACCTGGGAGGCTGAGGTGGGAGGATCACTTGAGCCCGGGGTATTGAGGCTGTAGTGAATTGTGATCACGCCCCTGTACTCCAGCCTGAGCAACAGAGCAAGACCCTGTCTCAAAAAAAAAAAAAGAAGAGTAAGGACCCATTTTATAGCTGGGCAAAGTAGCTCACACCTGTAATCCCAGCACTTAGGGAGGCTGAGGCAGGCACATCACTGGTCAGGAGATCGAGACCATCCTGGCCAACATGATGAAGCCCCGTCTCAACTAAAAATACAAAAATTAGCTGGGCGTGGTGGCGCGTGCCTGTAACCCCAGCTACTTGAGAGGCTGAGGCAGGAGAATCCCTTGAACCAGGGTTCAGAGGTTGCAGTGAGCTGAGATCAGGCCACTGCACTCCAACCAGGCAACAGAATGAGACTCTGTCTCAAACAAAAATAAAAAGACCCATTTTACAAGTGAGAAGGCAGACATGAACCTGCCCAGAGCTAGTGAGTGAAAACCAAGACCGGACAGGAAGTCGGAAGTGCTCCCAGGGCACTGCCAGCCTAAATAAGGAGAAAGTGCTGCGGGAAGACAGGGTGTGCCACCAAGTGTGGCCCAGGACAGCCTGAGAAGGCTCTCCGGGGGCTGCAGCAGGAGGCTGGGAGTTGACGTTTTGTTTGCTTGCTTTTTTCTAGACAGAGTCTCGTTCTGTCGCCCAGGCTGGAGGGTAGTGATGCTATCTCCGCTCACTGCAACCTCCACTTCCCGGGTTCAAGCAGTTCTCCTGCCTCAGCCTCCCGGGTAGATGAGATTACAGGCGCCCGCCACCATGCCCGGCTAATTTTTTTGTATTTTTAGTAAAGGTGGGGTTTCACCATGTTGGCCAGGCCCATCTTGAATTCCTGATCTCAGATGTTCCTCCCCCCTCAGCCTCCCAAAGTTCTGGGATTGCAGGCGTGAACCACTGCGCCTGGCTCACTGGATAGTTTTTGGATTTTTTTTGTTGTTGTTTTTTGTTTTGTTTTGACACAGAGTCTCACTCTGTTGTTGCCCAGGCTGGAGTGCAATGGCACGATCTCAGCTCACTGCAGCCTCCACTTCCTGGGTTCAAACAATTCTACTGCCTCAGCCTCCCAAGTAGGTGAGATTACAGGCATGCACCACTATGCCCAGCTAATTTTTATATTTTTAGAAGAGATGGGGTTTCACTATGTTGGCCAGGCTGGTCTCGAACTCCTGACCTCAAGTGATCCGCCTGCCTTGGCCTCCCAAGTGCTGGGATTACAAGTGTGAGCTACTGCGCCCGGCTTCTGTTATGTATTTAATGAGCCCTGTGTGTAGTGCTAGGTGTCCTGACAGATTCAGAGGGACGTTAGAAGCCTCTGGGTAGTGGGCAGAAGCTTAGACCTCCCCAGCACTGATCTGGGCCCCACATCACCAGCGCTCGTCCATCACGGGTCCTTGTCTATACACTGGGAACAGCAGTACATCAGTTGGTCCAGGCCACGCTTGGTAAGGCATGGTCAGCAGGCAGTGACCGATGGAGAGGTGGAGAGGTGGCCATGTGAGGTGGCTCACGCCTGTCATCCCAGCCATTTGGGAGGCCAAGGTGGGAGGATCACTTGAGGCCAGAAACTTGAGACCAGCCTGGGCAACATCTCAAGAACCCATCTCCACACACACACAAAAAAATTAAAAATTAGCCAGGTGTGATGGCGTGTGCCTGTGGTTCCAGCTAGTCAGGAAGCTGAGGTGGGAAGATCGCTTGAGTCTGGGAGTTTGAGCTGCAGTGAGCTGATTATACCACTGCACTCCAGCCTGGGCAACAGAACAAGACCCTGACTCTTTAAAAAAAAAGGCCGGGCGCGGTGTCTCAAACCTGTAATCCCAGCACTTTGGGAAGCCTAGGTGGGCAGATCACAAGGTCAAGAGATCTAGACCATCCTGGCCAACATGGGGAAACCCCATCTCTACTAAAAATACAAAAAAATAGCCGGGCATGGTGGCGCACACCTGTAGTCCCAGCTAGTTAGGAGGCTGAGACACAAGAATCACTTGAACCCGGGAGGTGGAGGTTGCAGTGAGTGGAGATCCCACCACTGCACTCCAGCCTGGGCGACAAAGCGAGACTCTCTCTTTTAAAAAAAGGCAGCGGCAGCCGCTCTGGGTTCTGTCCAGGGCTGAGGCCGTGAGCAGGGCGGGCAGACCAATTCATCAGACAGGCTGCCTGCTTCTGGCCAGCTGTCGACTGACCTGAAATCCTCCAGCCAGCAGCCGCCGCCTCTTCCCCCGCACACACGTTTGCAGCTAGCCTCAGGTCTGGGCTTCTCCCCAGGACCACTCTGGGAATCGTCCAAGAGAGACTCCTCGTGGCAGAGTCTTGGTTATGTCAGCACCCCCTCAAGGTACACGTGCACCCCAAAGCTTCACCGCCTCGGAGGCTGTATCAGCAGCTGCTTCTGCTGGGGAGGACAGAGCCAGGATTGGCCCCTCGGAGGCTGAGGCCTGTGCCTTTGATAAGAGATAGGCCTCCCACTGCCAAAGACTGGGGCCATCTTTTTCCATTTCTGTGCAGCCGCCTGCCTCTCCAGCTGCCCATTGGCTGACCACTGGCTCTTCTCAGCCAGCTGGACCAATGGGCTCCCTGGGCTGTGGTCACCATGGTGACCAGAACCGGGCAGGTAGGAAGGCATGGGCCTCAATTTCCGTCCTCTCAGGCCAAGCTCGCCTTTCCCTAGGAATCTTCATCATCACAGCTGCCTTGGCTCACCCATCTCTGAGCCCCTCTCTCCCTTTTTATCTACTTAACCTTTTGACACAGGGTCTGGCTCTGTTGCCCAGGCTGGGTGCAGTCACAGCTCACTGCAGCCTTGACACCCCAGACTCGAGTGATCCTCCCACCTCAACCTCCCACGTAGCTGGGACCACAGACATGTGCCACCACGCCTGGCTCATTTATTTTTTATCTTTATTTTTTTAGAGATGGGGTCTCGCCGTGTTACCCAGGCTGGTCTCAAATTCCTGGCCTCAAGCAATCCTCCCACCTTGGCCTCCCAAAGCAGTGGGATTACAGTCATGAGCCACTGCCTCCAGCCTCAGCCCCTCTCTTTTTAGCACCCTGTTTTCTTAGGGACTTGGTACTTTTCATTTGGTGCCAAGACAGCGTGTGGGTCCTTGAGTCAGACCCGCATTGGATTCCTGTTTCTGTTACTTCCTGAGTGAGCTGAGGCAGAACACTGCCTCTTCCAGCATTTCTGGACTGTTGAGTCTGCAGTGAGCAAATTAACCCTGCCTTGACCAGGCACGGCGGTTCACACCTGTAATCACAACACTCTGGGAGGCCGAGGCAGGTGGATCACTTGAAGCCAGGAGTTCAAGACCAGCCTGGCCAACACGGCAAAACCCCGTCTCTGCTAAAAATACAAAACTTAGCCAGGCATGGTGGTGGGAAACCGTAATCCTAGCTACTCAGGAGGCTGAGGCAGGAGAATCGCTTGAACCTGGGAGTCAGAGACTGCAGTGAGCCAAGATCACACCACTGCACTCCAGCCTGGGTGACAGAGTGAGGCTCCATCTCAAAAAAACAAAAACAAAAAAACCTGCCTCTCTGTGGGATGGTGTCAGAGTCCACCTCGCTGTGCCACTCCCCTCCCCACTCAGGGCCTGGAACTCGGTGCGTTTAGGCAGGTGCCCGGTGATGCATGAAGAGTCCCGCCTGCAGCCTGGGCTCGAGTTTGCAGCTGCACGTCTGTGGGCGCACACACACAGTCTGTGCCTGTGTCCCACGTTCAGGGCTACTCAGGGACTCTGTCTCCAGGACAGGGCGGGAGGAATGGCTCAGACGTTTGGATTCTGGGTGTGCAGGAGCTAGGTAAGGAGGCTTAGCGGTTGCTTCTGCTCTGGCCTCCCACCCTGCCAAAGTCAGGGTCAGCCCCCGGGACTTCCAGGCCCTCGGGAGGGACATGGGTGACAGTCACTGCCCCACCACCCCACAGTGCAGCATCTTCAGGGGCCCCCCTGGAGCTGCCTGTTCTTCCAGAGAAGCCCAGTGTGCAGGGCTGGCTGAAGCAGAAAGAAAAACCCCAAAGCCCCACCCTGCCTTCTCCTGGCCTCCCCTCCACCCAGAGCCTCCCTGGGAGGTCTCCGGGAACCCACTTTGAAAGCCAGTTGCATGTAGGACAGTGGGCATGATGACAATGCCAGACCCACAAAAGGTTGTAAGGACTCAAGGGCATTACCCTCTACTGACACCGTCATTTTACGTCCAAGGAAACTGAGGCTCAGCGCAGATCAGCCACTTCCCCACGTGATTCCTGCTCTGTTGAGCTGCCTGCCACGTCCTGTGACATCTGAAGGCCGTCCCTGCCCAGTCCTCCCAGGAATCAGTCTGGGATTCAAATCCCATCCTGTTGAAGGTCGGGCATAGTGGCTCCCACCTGTAATCGTAGCACTTTGGGAGGCCAAGGCAGGAGGATCACTTGAGACCAGGAGTTCGAGACCAGCTTGGCCAACATGGGGAAAACAGCATCTCTACTAAAAATACAAAAATTAGCTGTGTGTGACTGTGCATACCTGTAATCCCTGCTACCACTTGAGCCCAGCAGGTGGAGGTTGCAGTGAGCCAAGATTGCGCCACTGCACTCCAGCCTGGACAACAGAGCAAAACTCTGTCTCAAAAAACAATCCCATCCTGTTGGAAAGTGAGGTTTGGGTGGAGCTGTCCCCAGAGCCTCACCCCCTCCTCTCTGACCTGCCTCGCCCTGCCCTGGGGACAGCCGGGACCCCAGCAGTCAGTCACAGGGCTGCCTTCTGTGTCTCCCTGCAGAGCTGCCCTCCTCAGAGCACCTGAGTGTGGCAGATGCCACCTGGCTGGCCCTGAATGTGGTGTCCGGCGGTGGCAGCTTCTCCAGCTCCCAGCCCATCGGTGTGACCAAGATCGCCAAGTCTGTCATCGCCCCGCTGGCCGACCAGAACATCTCCGTATTCATGCTGTCCACGTATCAGACAGACTTCATCCTGGTGAGCCAGTCGTCACCTTGTACACACACCTGCCTGTTGTTCACACACATGCTCGCTCCCATCTCCCACCCCTTGCAGCCTCGCCCTTCCACACTACTCCGGGGTGGGGGCAGGGTCTCAGAGTGAGAGCTCGGGGCCCCAAGCCCACATCCCCCAGGGCCACCAGGCACACGCTGCCACAACTTCTTGCCCTCAGGTACGCGAGCGGGACCTGCCCTTTGTCACGCACACGTTGTCATCAGAGTTCACCATCCTTCGGGTCGTCAATGGCGAGACTGTGGCAGCTGAGAACCTTGGCATCACCAACGGCTTCGTGAAGCCCAAGATGGGTGAGCTGGGGGCAGGGTTTGTACACGGGAAGCCTCACGAAGTTACCAGATCCAGCCACAGACCAGCCTCACTGTCTTCTGCCCACTGAGCGTGAATGGAATGCCAGGTAGAGAGGGATGCAAAGGGCCCGGTGTGGTGGCTCACGCCTGTGATCCCAGCACTTTGGGAGGCTGAGGCGGGCAGATCACTTGAGGTTGGGAGTTCAAGACCAGCCTGCCCAACATGGAGAAAACCTGTCTCTATTAAAAATACAGAGTTAGCCGGGCATGGTGGCGCATGCCTGTAATCCCAGCTACTCAGGAGGCTGAGGCAGGAGAATCCCTTGATCCTGGGAGGGGGAGGTTGCAGTGAGCTGAGGTTGTGCCATTGCACCCCAGCCTGGGCAAGAGCGAAACTCCCCTCTCAAAAAAAAAAGTGACTCAAAGGTCCTAGGTAGGCCCCGCTGTTATATCTGGCAAGAGTGGTGGGCATGCATGCAGACAGCAATGGCTAGAGGCCACTCCTGCAGCAGGCCGTGTGTCACGGCAGGCTTCCCTGGGCAGGGACTGTGGAGCTGAAGCCTGGATCGCAGGTGGGAGCAGAGCCAGGTGGTGACAGTTGGGAAGGGCATCCCAGGCAGCCAGCACAGCATGTGCAAAGGCCCAGGGTCTGCGGGCGAGCCGGAAGATCAGGGCGGTGATAGGTGGAGGCAGAGGCTGGGGAAGCAGCGGTGCCTGAGTCTCTCGTGGCCTGCGGCTGAGCTGCCCCAGCCCTCTTCTCGGGCCCTACACCCACCCACGCTGCTGCTTTTGGTCCCAGCCTCAGTGCCCGACATTCTGTGCTGTTACAGTCCAGAGGCCGGTCATCCACCCCCTGTCCAGTCCGAGCAACAGGTTCTGTGTCACCAGCCTGGACCCCGACACACTGCCTGCTGTTGCCACACTCCTCATGGACGTCATGTTCTACTCCAATGGGTAGGGCTACCTCGGGCGTGAGGGGCTGCAGGGTGGGCTGGGGGAAGGCACAGCTCTGCCAGGAGCTCATCTGAGGTGGGGAGACACAGACTTGCCCTGGAGCTAGTCTGATGGGGGAAGACACAGGCCTGCACCGGAGCTAGTGTGAGTGAGGAGACGGCGACCTGCCCCAGAACTAGTCTGATGGGGGAGACACAGACCCACTCCAGAGTTAGTCTGAGTGGGGGAGACGTGGACCCACCCTGGAGCTAGTCTGAGGGAGGAGACACCAACCCACCTGGAGCTAATCTGACAGGGGAGACATGGACCTGCCCCAGAGCTAGTCCGAGGGGGGAAACAGCTCTACCTAAAGCTCCAGTCTGAGGGGAGAGACATCCTACCCTGGGAACACCAACGTTTGGTGAAGCTCCGAGGACACATTGGGAGCTGTAACAAACTTCCCCACTCCCACTGAGCTCCAAGGACAGGCCCAGTCTGTTGTGGGCTCAGATTTTTCATTTGGTGAATGACAGACATTGATTGCATCCCTTCCTCAGTGGATTTTGTAAAGCTTAGGCCAACGCCAGGTGGGGCAGCACAGGGCCGGGTCCAGTGTGCTGACGGTCACCCCAGCCTGTGCCCTGAGGTGCGGGCAGACCAGGAAGGGGCCCATGTAGCCTGTGTAGGGGATCGGCCAGGCCTCCAGCACTGCAAAGCGTATCACCCGCCTCTGTGAATGTGGTGAAATCATCCCCATTGCATTGCGAGCGAGATGTGAAGGACCCTGGCCTAGGGTTGCCCAGGTGGCATCAAAGCCTGGGCAGGGCCCAGCTTCCCTGGGCAGGTGGGCAGGCGCCTCAAGGGCTCCACCCTTACTGGCTCCCCCCAACCCCCAGAGTGAAGGACCCCATGGCCACCGGGGATGACTGCGGCCACATCCGCTTCTTCTCCTTCTCCCTCATTGAGGGCTACATCTCCCTGGTGATGGACGTGCAGACGCAGCAGAGGTGAGCCAGGCCCTGGGGTGGACGCTCAATCCAGGGTGGGCCCTAGGGTCTGGGGGGACTCTGTGATGGGGCCATCACCCACTTTGTCTTATTTATTTATTTGTATTGAGACAGTGTCACTGTCATCCAGGCTGAGTGTAGTGACGCAGTCTCGGCTCTCTGCAACCTCTGCCTCCCGGGTTCATGCAATTCTCCTGCCTCAGCCTCCCGAGTAGTGGGGATTATGGGTTCCAGCCACCACGCCTGCTGATTTTTATGCATTTAGTAGAAACAGGGTTTCACTATGTTTGCCAGGCTGGTTTCGAACTCCTGACCTCAAGTGATCCGCCCGCCTTGGCCTCCCAAAGTGAGGATTGCAGATGTGAGCCACTGTGCCTGGCCTTTGTTTTTATTTCTGTTGAGACAGGATCTCACTGTCACCCAGGCTGGAGAGCAGTGGTGCAGTCTTGGCTCACTGCAACCTCCGCCTCCCCGGTTCAAGCAATCTGCGTGCCTCAACCTCCTGAGTAGCTGGGACTACAGACTCGTGCCACCACACCTGGTTTTTGTATTTTCATTTTTTTATTTTTTTTTTTGAGACAGGGTCTCACTCTGTCACCCAGGCTGGAGTACAGTGGCATGATCTCAGCCCACTGCAGCCTCCACTTTCTGGGTTCAAGTGATGCTCCTGCCTCAGCCTCCCGAGAAGCTGGGATTACAGGCACACACCACCACACCTGGCATCACTATATTTTGTAGGAAAGCGTTTTGCCATGTTGGCCAGGCTGGTCTTGAACTCCTGACCTCAGGTGATTCACCCACCTCGGCCTCCCAAAGTGCTGGGATTACAGATGTGAGCCACAGTGCCCGGCCACTTTGTCTCTGATAAACCCTCACTGTCGCCCTTCATCGTAAGTGAGAGGCCCCTCAGCTCAAAGAGGGGCAGGGGTTGTCCAAGGTCCACTGTGGGGTGGTGGCAAAGTGGGAGTTTGAACCACAGCCCCAGTGCTATTTGTCCCTCAGCTTCTGCTCTGGACCTGGGAAGAAGTGTCCGGACTAGCCTTAGCAAGGGGCCCAGGGGTCTTGTTCCAAACCGCAGCCTGATAACACCCTCCCCATCTGCCTTCCCCCAAGACGAGGCTGCGGGGTGAGTGGGTCCAGGGTGTCTGGAGGGGGTGGTCCTTGCAGGCCCTGAGCTCTGGCCCATCCGCCCGGCCAGCCCCCTGCCTCGCTCTGGCTGGTGTACCAGCACGCCAAGGAGGGAGCACAGTTCACATCAGGCTTGGGGATTCTTCTCTCGCCCCCTTTGAAGGTTTCCTAGTAACTTGCTGTTCACAAGCGCATCCGGAGAGCTCTGGAAGATGGTGCGGATTGGAGGACAGCCCCTGGGATTTGGTGAGCCCTGGGGGGACTGCATGGGGGGAGGGCGGAGCTGGCATTGCTGGGCCCACTCACACACATGGACCTCAGTGACTCAGCCCCTGCTGGGGGTACAGATGAGACTGAGGTTTGGGGAGCCTGAAGTTTCTGTTGCTTCCCAGTGTGTGGCAGGTGGACACAGGCCTCTTGAGGACAAGAGGAGCAGGCCTCAATCCGAGTGCTTGTATTTTGCTCCCTCTCGAAAATTAGGATGTTGCTTATTATTAGAAAATTAAACAGCTGCACGCAGTGGCTCATGTCTGTTATCCTAGCACTTTGGGAGGCCTAGGTGGGAGGGTCCCTTGAACCCAGGAGTTCTATACAGCCTAGGAAACATAGCAAGGCCCTGTCTCTACGGAAAAAAAAATAATTAAAATTAGCTGGGCGTGGTGGCAGGTGTCTGTAATCCCAGCTACTCAGGAGGCTGAGGCAGGAGGATTACTTGAACCCAAGAGTTCAAGGCTGCAGTGAGCCATGATCCTGCCATTGTACTCCAACCTGGGCGACAGAGCAGATCCTCGTCTCTAACGATAAAGAGGCCAGGCGAGGTGGCTCGTGCCTATAATCCAGCACTTCGGGAGGCCGAGGCAGGTGGGTCACCTGAGGTCAGGAGTACGAGAGGAGCCTGGCCAATATAGTGAGACCCCATCTCTACTAATCATACAAAAAAATTAGCCGGACATTGTGGCGTGTGCCTGTAATCCCAGGTACTTGGGAGGCCGAGACAGGAGAATCGCCTGAATCCAGGAGGCAGAGGTTGTAGTGGCAGTGAGCCAAGATCACACCACTGCCCTCCAGCCTGGGCAGCAGAGCAATGCTCCCTCTCAAATAATAGTATGATTTGATTTAAAAAGAAAGAGCAAATTGGGGCCGTGATAAAAGTTGAGAAAAAAAATCACTCCCTAGTTCCACAGTTCAAAGATAAGACCTGCTGGCGGTTTCCCCCACCCCGAGACAGAGTCTCGCTCTTGTTACCCAGGCTGGAGTGCGATGGCGCGATCTCCGCTCACCTACGCAACCTCCGCCTCCTGGGTTCAGGCAATTCTCCTGCCTCAGCCTCCTGAGTAGCTGGGATTACAGGCACGTACCACCATGCCCAGCTAATTTTTTTTATATTTTTAGTAGAGACGGGGTTTCACCATGTTGACCAGGCTGGTCTCGATCTCTTGACCTCGTGATCCACCCGCCTCGGCCTCCCAAAGTGCTGGGATTACAGGCATGAGCCACCGCACCCAGCCAAGGTGCCATACTTTTAAACAGCCAGATCTCATGAGAACTTACTGTCACAAGAACAGAACCAAGAGGATGGTGCTAAACCATTTATGAGCAATCCACCCCCTCAGCCCAGTCACCTCCCACCAGGCCCCACCTCCAAGACTTCAGATTACAATTGGAAGATTCGGGCAGGAACACAGAGCCAGCCCACATTGCTGGCCAGCCACCAGAGAAGGCTCTTGGCTGGGGGACATCCAGGTTAAGCCTTCAAGAGAAATGGCGAGTGGGAGGCTGGGTGCGGTGGGTCACGCCTGTCATCCCAGCATTTTGGGAGGCCGAGGCAGGTGGGTCACTTGAGGTCAGGAGTTCGAGACCAGCCTGGCCAACATGGTGAAACCCCAACTCTACTAAAAATACAAAATAATTAGCCAGGCGTGGTGGTGGTACACGCCTGTCATTTCAGCTATTCAGGAGGCTGAGGCACGAGGATCCCTCGAATCCGGGAGGTAGAGGTTGCAGTGAGGTGAGATCACACCAGTGCCATCCAGCCTGGGTGATGGAGCAAGACTCTGAAATAAAAATGGGATGGCAGATGGGGATTCCCTGGGAGCATGGTGGGTGCAGGGTAGGCATTTCCCACACAGGGTAGAGGCTGAAGAGCCACAGAGGCAGGGGTAGCCAGGTGACGCAGAGGCTAAGGACGTTCTCCCCATCCCTAGATGAGTGTGGCATCGTGGCCCAGATCTCAGAGCCCTTGGCTGCCGCAGACATCCCGGCCTACTACATCAGTACTTTCAAGTTTGACCACGCACTGGTGAGTGTCCAAACCCAGATTCCTCTGGGGCAGGGCCGGGGAGGGCAGCGGGTTCCTGGGCTCACGGGCAGGTGTCTGCCTCCTCCCCCACCCTGCCCCCCGAGCAGGTTCCAGAAGAGAACATCAATGGTGTCATCAGTGCCCTGACGGTCAGCCAAGCAGAGAAGCACTAGGAGGGTCTCTTCTGCTCCTCCCTGCTGCCGCCCAGCCCAGCCCCAACCCCGAAGATTGATCTCGCAGTATTTCTCTACAGACTGGAAAATCTTCCTGGGGACCCCGAGGAAGGGGCCTCTCCAGGAGACTCCCTCGATTGCCAATCCCTCCAGGCCAGGGGCCCACGCCAAGGCCTCCTCATGCCCTCCTGCCTTCCCGGAGCCCCCCAGCCCTCCAGAGAGCAACCTGCCTCTTCCCCACCCCAGAAAATGCTTTTGGAGGCCCAGGGGGCTTGTGACCTGATCCGCCTTCTCATCCAGCCTCGCCCACGGCCAGGGGCAGATATAGAGGGAAGTTGGTCCCTCCTACGAGACAGCAGTGTGCCAGCTGTCATGTCGCCTTGCAGGGCTGGGGCTGGCGGGGTGGGGTGGAGTCTGGGGCACCCGGGAGGGTTTTGGGGGCGAATACTGTGGTCGCTGGTCTCTCGTCCATCAGCTCAGGGCTGGTCCCCTCCGAGTGGAGGCCAGCGCGACCCCCTCAGGTCTTCGGAGCTGGTGAGGCTCAGACGGGAACCCAGGCAGCATCCCCAAGCTGGGAAGGACCCAAACTCCCCCTGTACCTCGCCTGCCATTCACAGGGCCTGGGCCCGACTCCCAGCAAGACTGCCAAGAGGGCCCTGTCCAGACCCTCCCCCACAAATACCCAGTCCTTGGGGGAGGAGGGAGGGTCCCAGGAGACCCACCAGCCTGGAGCACCAGCTCCTGTCCCCTCGGCTCTCCCTGGACCCGCCTTGGGCAGGCAGAGCCTCAGTTTCCCCCAGCAGGGATATTCCTGGCTTTTTGGGCCTGGGGTTTCTTAGGTGGTGTCCCACCTCCCCAACAGATGACTAGACCAGCATAGGACTTCCCACCTCCCTCCCCTGCCCCCAACTCGCCTGCCCACCCCTTGGTCGGGGGCTGTGGCATTCCTAAGTACTTGACCCAGGAGGCAGCTTAACTGAGCCTTAATAGAGAAAACCTTACCTTGTTTTAGTTTTTTATTTAATGTGTTTGCACCCAGGCTGCTGTTGGCGGTAGTTTCTGTTTGAGGGGGTAGGTAAGACCGATTTGAGTTGTGTTGAGGGGGCCTGGAGGCTCCATGTCACTAGGCTGGTCCTCTGGGACTCCAGGGACAGGCATGAGAGTCTGGAGATGTCACACAAGCCTTGGCCCTCTCTTCTGAAGGGAAGCTGAGAGCAGACATCTCCTGCGAGATGCTAGAGCTGCTGTCACCCGACATGGGACCTCCCTACCAGCTGTGGCTCTTGTTGAGCACCAGAGGCAGTGAGGGTCCCCTAGGGCCGTGGGGAGGTAGACAGAGGTAGACAGGTCACGGGCCAGCTGAGTGGTCATGACCAGGAGGCACGGGGTTTGCTGTGGCGTCCCTTCCGTTGATCGGGGTGGCTTTCTGAGTGAGCAAGGTCCAAGGGCCTCTGTGGCTTTGGCTCTGGCAGTCAAGTTGTGATGTTTCTTTTTTTCTGAGATGGTAACTCGCTCTGTCACCAAGGCTGGAGTGCAGTGACGCGATCTTGGCTCTCTGCAACCTCCGCCTCCCGGGTTCAAGTGATTCTCCTGCCTCAGCCTCCCAAGTAGCTGGGAATACATAACGTGCACCACCATGCCTGGCTAGTTTTTGTATTTTTAATAGAGACGGAGTTTCGTCACGTTGCTCAGGTGATCTGCCCGCCTCGGCCTCCCAGAGTGCTAGGAATAGAGGCGTGAGCCACAGCACCCGGCCAAGTTGTGCTGTTTCTGAGAAGGTCGGAGGAGAAGGGGTAGTTTCTAAACCTGGCAAAATGCTCCCCACTTTATGAGCCGAGTGGGACCCTCTGAGCCCCAGAAGCCCACCACATCAATTAGAAACCCACTTTTTTTTTTTTTTAAGTTAATTCATTTTGCACAAAACGTCAAAACAAAACTTGTAGATTGCTGGTCCCAAAAGGGAGGCGGCCAGGTGGGGCGGGCCTGCGGTGGAAGCCCTGAGTCCCCTTTCTGACCTTGCAAGGCCTTGATTTTCCTTTCTGTCATTTCCCCCGACAGTGTCACTCCTCTGCCTTTCCTTCCCGCCGTGCAAGTGTGTCGGCCTCATGACCCCAGTGTCCTGTGTCCCCTACCTAGACTTCCTAGGACGTATCTATTGTACACACCTATAAATACCTGTGTTTTATGTTGATAGAGATATATACTGTAAATAGCATATATACTTGAGCAATATATATGTTAATATATACTGTGTGATCAGTCTGTGGACACAGCCCCCCGCTGTGTGTGCCCATGTGTGTGGGCGTGGTGGCGTCTGCCACGCACGCAGGCACGTTGGGAGTCACCATATATTTTTAATTCAAGTATATATAGGCAATACGATTATTACAGAAGCCGATGGGTTCCCTCAGACCTGACTTGAGAGATCAAAGCCAGCAATTCAGAGCGTGGAGCGTGGGGCGTGGGGCGTGGGACGTGGGACGTGGGACAGGTGCCAAGAGCTCACTGTGACATGAGTCATGCCTCCTGTACCCCCCTTTCCCCAGCTACAGTCCCTGGGCGCCCTTGATTTTTTGGGGATGTTGATCCCCAGGGAGGAGTATTTGGAATTCCTTGCTTTTAATCGGAATGCCCCCTCTCGCCTGCCCCACCCGGCGGCCTCACTCTGAAGACCTGGACTGGCCGAATGGCCCACGCTGCCTGCGTTCCGCCTCCGCCTCCATGGGTGGTAGTTTTTACATAGGCGGCTTATCTGTTGTTTTCTTGGGGGGTTTTTTGTTTGTTTGTTTTGGTAACCTGCAAGCTTAGAAATCTCAGGTTCTGCTCCCGGGGCTCCTCCTGGGGACCGGACTCGTGAAACAGAAAAGCAGGAGTGTTGGGGCAGGCTGGGGCCAGGGTCTGGCTCTTGGCTCAGGCTGGCTCTGCAGGGTCCCTGTTCCAGCCAGCCCCGTGGGAGCTTTCCCCTAGGGACCCATCCCTTCGGTCCTGGGGGCCCCCCTTTAGTTTTTCTGTCCCCGTCCTGCTCATGTAAAGCTTGGTCGACCCTCTCGGTGTTCTGTGTGTAGCACAGTCTTGGTTTGGTCTCCACAGCTGTTCGGTGGGGTCGCTGTGAGTGTGGTTATTCCCAGCGGGGGTTGTCTGCCCTTGTATTCCAGCCATCTCCTGGTCTGCTGGGTGAGAGGGTCTCTCCAAGCCCCAGACCCCACTAGGAGGGGTGTGTGTTTCTCGGAGGGGCTGCGAGCGGGACGCTTCTCCATCCGCAGCTGCGTGGGGCTCCCTGCCTGACTGCCGTCTGTCCCCTGGAGGAAATCGGAGGAGTGGGCCCGTTGTTTCGGCGTGGCAGATGGGGCAGGTGCCTGGCGGGGGAGGAAGGGAGCTCGCTGTGATGTGGATTTTTTTTCTTTACATGGGAGTCTTTCTGTCACCCAGGCTGGAAGTCAGTAATGGCATGATCTCAGCTCACTGCAGCCTCCACCTCCTGGGTTCAAGAAAGTCTCCTGCCTCAGCCTCCCAAGTAAGGGGGATTACAGGTGCCCACCACCACACCAAGCTAATTTTTGTATTTTTAATAGAGACAGGTTTCACCATGTTGACCAGGCTGGTCTTGAACTCGTGACAAGTGATCTGTCTGCCTCGGCCTGATTACAGGCATGAGCCACCACACCCGGCCTCATGTGGAATGTCTAGGAGCAAGCAGGTGGTCCTGGGCTGCCATGTGGGCTCCTGGAGTATGTGTCTTGGCCCCTGTGTGGCTCTCCAGTAAGAACAGCTCAGACAGTCTCAACCCCACTCTCACCCCTTGCTGCACTCCAAGGACGGTGGGAGCTGAAGGATGGGGAAGAACAGAGAGTGAGCACCCCTCCCTACCACTGACAAGTTCTGCCTCGTCGTGGGGCTCCCCTGGTTCCCAAGACACCAGTTTCTCCCTCAGCCCCTCATCCTGACCCAGCGAAGATCTGGGCATTGCCAACTCTGCACCTCCTTCCTCCATGGGCATCTCTGGATCCCCACCCTGAGCACTGCCCACACCTCCATCCTCAGCCCGGGGCATGCATTCGAGCTAGAGAGGCTTGCAGCCCTGACCCCAATAGCCTGCCCTCCCCAGGATTCAGGGGGAGCCCAGAGCCTCACTCTAAACCACCAGCATGCTCACCTCCAGGCACCAGGCTGCTGGTGGGAAAGGAAGGAGCTGGGCAATCAGAGGCTCCCAGCGCAGCCGCCTGAAGCAGCAGCGTAGCCATGGTGACATTTTTTTTAGCAGGAGGAGGTTTGGTCTGGAGGGGCTTGCTCCTCCGAGGTGACAGAGATGCCCTGGAGGTCAGGAGAGAAGGCAGGGAGGGCCAGGCCCCCCTGAAAGCCCAGGGCACTCTTTTCCTGGTGATCAGAGGTGAACCCCGGCCAGCTCCCACCGGCCCCCTCCTCCTGGCTGCATTTTCTACGGAGACCCTTGGGAGTCCTAAGGCCATTCTGGGCCCCTTTCTGAGCCCTGAGATCTGGTTGTGGGGACAACCAGGGCTTTTGCAGCCCCAGCTAAGAGGGGGGGCTTTAGGGCAAGAGGACCCCAACCCTGCAGTGAGGGGATTTTTTTTTGAGATGGAGTCTCACCCTGTCACCCAGGCTGGAGGGCAGTGGAGTGATCTCAGCTCACTGCAGCCTCCACCTCCTGGGTTCAAGTGCTTCTCCTCCCTCAGCCTCCCAAGTAGCTGGGATTACAAGCGTGTGCCACCATGCTTGGCTAATTTTTGTATTTTTAGTAAAGACAGGGTTTCTCCATATTGGGCAGGCTGGTCTCGAACTCCTGACCTCAGGTGGTCCACCCGCCTTGGCCTCCCAAAGTGCTGAGATTACAGGCGTGAGCCACCGCGCCCGGCCAATGGGGGTATTTTTGACGCCACTTCCTGAGTGAAGCACTTTGCATGGGGATGGGAAGAAGAACCCCCTTTCTCAGCCCACTCCGAGCAGGGCCTGGAGCAGTGGAGATGGTGGTTAGTGTAATAGGCAGAGCCTGAGAGAGGCTGGGGGACTTCTCCAATAGAAAAAAGACATTGGCTTAGGGTACTGTGGTGAGGGAGGGGATTAGGCTTGGTGGGGGCCCATTCAAAGGAGGCCGGGCCCAGTGGCTCACACCTGTAATCCCAGCACTTTGGGAGGCCAAGGCAGGCAGATTGATTGAGGCTAGGAGTTCAAGACCAACCTGACCACATAGCAAGATCCCAACTCTACCAAAAAAAAAAAGAGGCTGCCAGGGAAGGAAGCCAGCCAGCAGTGGCCTGGCGCGGAGGCAGGAGCCTGAGGCCTGGGCCGTGGCATCCAGGCACAGCCTGGTGGCCAAGAGAGCTTGTGGCTGTCGTTACAAGGGAAGAGGAGGCATGGAAATGGGAAGTGCCGGGCGGCTTCTGTGCTGGGAGTCGGGACACAGGCCTGGGCATGTTTACACGTATGTGGGTGTATGTGGGTGTGTTCATACACATTAGAGAGTGTGCGTGCAGGTGTGCAGACCCATACCTGAGAGGTGGGACTGGCTCCTGGAGTATTTTGAGTTCTCAGAAGCAGTCTTGCTCTCGGGCCCTGAGTACAGAGATGAGGTGAGTGGAGGCAGGACTCGAATGCAGGCCCTGGCTCCAGGGGAAAGGGTGGGCGTCTCTGGTAGGATGGCCTCACCCCACTTGTCGGAACTACTCTGGAGCGGGGCAAAGGTGTCAGGAACAGTTTAGCTGAGCGATTCTGGCTCAGGGTTTTTCATGAGGTTGTCTAAAATCTTAGCTAAGGATTGGAGGATGCACTTCTAAGTTAGGCCTGGCTGTAGGCAGAAGGCCTCAGCTTCTCCAGGTGAGCCAACCCACGGGGCTGCTTGAGTGTCCTCACAAAATGGCACCCGGCTTCCTCCCACCCAGAGCAAGAGATTCAAGGGCCCAGGGTAGAAGCCGAAGTGTTACTTTTATCCCTAGCCTTAGAATTCACATGCAGTTGCCTCCACCATGCTCTGGTGTGATACAGCCCAGCTCTGATCGGAAGGGGCTGGGCCTGCCCGTGCTGACTCTTCAAAGGCATCACATCCTGAAGGTGGTGTTCCCAGGGAGAGCTTTTGGGGGCCGGCGCTCCCTCACCTACTGGGGCTCATTCTGGAAGAGGGTCCAGAAGAATTGGGAGACCCCTGCCCCTCACTCAACTTTGGAGGTGGCAGGGTGAACAGCAGGCCAAGTTCAGGGACTGAGACAGGCCAAGGCCAGTGCTGTTTCCCCTCCACTGCCTCAGTTTACCTGTATTCAGAAGACAGGTCTGGGAAGAGTTGAGCAGAGTTCTCTCTAAAGGAGTAGGGAGCTGATAACAATCCCAAGCCCTCCTTATGCCAAAATCATTTCCGTTATCCTGAGATGGGGCGAGTGGATGGATAGTGTACTGAGGGGCCTCTGCCCTGCCAGGAGCCCCCATCAAAGGGAAGCGCAGGGGACTTCTGCCCACGGCCCCCTCTGGCCCTCGCCTGGCGTGCCCGGGTCACCAGCAGCAGCAGTGGTGTTTCAGTGGTCCCAAGATCTGGGGGAAGGGGAGAACCTGCCATCTTACCCCTACCCCCCGGGGCCTTTACGCTTATTTTCTTGTTGAAACACAAAACCCTCGAGATTCATGTACTGTATATTGGAGAGAAAAAAATACCTAATGTTCCCCCAAAAAGACAGTATATTTTGTACTTTGTAAAGTGTTAATTAAAATGAAAAACGATGCTGGCTGGTGGCTGTTTTTTGTGCAGACCTAGCCAGAGGCTGGCCTCATCTCTTTCTCCTCCACCCTGTGATTTGGGGAACACAGGCCAGGGGCTAGAGGGGGTAGAAAAATACCCAGAATCTGAGGAAGGGCCCCCAGAGCCAGAGGAGTTGTATTAGTTACATGGTGCTACGTAACAAGTTTCCCCAAGACAACAGCTTGTTAAACATGATCACTGTTTACAGATCACATTTTCTGTGGGTCAGGAATTCAGGAACTTTGGCCGAGAGATTCTGGCTCAGAGTCACTCATGAGGTTGACATTGTCTGAAATCTTAGCTAAGGATTGGAGGATGCACTTCTTTTTTGGGGGCGGGGGGGGGACGGAGTTTCGCTCTTGTTACCCAGGCTGGAGTGCAGTGGCGCGATCTCGGCTCACCGCAACCTCCGCCTCGTGGGTTCAGGCAGTTCTCCTGCCTCAGCCTCCTGAGTAGCTGGGATTAGAGGCACGCACCACCATGCCCAGCTAATTTTTTGTATTTTTAGTAGAGACGGGATTTCACCATGTTGACCAGGATGGTCTCGATCTCTTGACCTTGTGATCCACCCGCCTCGGCCTCCCAAAGTACTGAGATTACAGGCTTGAGCCACTGTGTCCAGCCTGTATTTTTACTTCATTTATTTATTTTTTTGAGCCAGAGTCTTGCTGTGTCACCCAGACTGGAGTGAAGTCGTGCTATCATGGTTCCCTGCAACCTCCACCTCCCGTCTGTGTGTACATGTGCTTGTGCGCGCGTTCACATGTGTGTGCGTGCACTCATACCAGTGTTCATTCCTACTCCATGAGCCAGGGCAGGAGTGCCTAGATGGGAGGACAGACCAGCTGGAGGAGGATGGACAACAGCCCAGAAGCTGACACTAACTGGATCAGACCTGTGGGTAATCTGGTTACTGCATCCTGGGATGCTGCAGTGGTTACACTGGTGCCCACCGGGGGGCCCTCAGAGGAGCTGAGAACGTGGCTCCATGTCAAGGGAGGATCCCTGGGAGGCAGCTCACTGAGACTTGTGAAGTCGCCTGTGCCAGTGGCAGATGACATCCTGCCTCTGAGGGGACACCCAGTCTCAGGAGAGCAACGCCACTCCCAAGGGCAAAGGGAAGAGTAGGGCAGGGAAGCGATTCTCCTGCTTAACCCTCCGGAGTAGCTGGGATTACAGACACGCACCACCACGTCTGGCTCATTTTTGTATTTTTAGTAGAGATGGAGTTTCACCATGTTACTCAGGCTGGTCTCTAACTCTTGACCTCAGGAGATCCACCCACCTCAGCCTCCCAAAGTGCTGGGATTACAGACGTGAGCCACCACGCCAGGCCTCCCATGATAGTTTAGGCAGCCCCCGCGGCCATCCAGGCGAAGGCCAGGCCCTCTGCAGATGCTGGCACCCAGGGGAAGGCGGGAGAAATGTGGGATCTTCATAGGTGCATCCTGAGTTTCGATCCTGGCCCGGGCACGGTGCTGGGCACTGATCCTCAGACTGCAACCTGCTGGGTCGTGCCCAAGCATTCGCTTCATGGCACATTTGTCAGGATTTGACTCTGTCATGCAGAGCACAGTCAGTGCATAACTATTTCCTGAAATAATGAAAATGTGGGGTGACCATACGTTCAAGAAACAAGTCACCACGGCATTCTATGGAGGTTGACAACCTGAGCTTTTATTAGCTGTGAAGGGTTTTCATGCCCGTCAGCCATCGCTTCCCAAAGAAATCAGTGTGGCGTGGTGGTCTGCGTGTCTGCAGGGACGAAGAGGATGGAAGACCAGGGCCCACAACCGCTGCAAACTGTCCGAGGGAGATGGGGGTAGCCTCCTCGCAGCTCACAAGCTGGACACACTACGTCTTCCACCCGGGTGTGTCTCTGACCTTGGTTACTGGCCCCATCAGAGAGAAAGGGGCAGTCTGCGTGTACAGAGGATGGCCTGGGGGCACACGGGGTTGGCACAAGCCTCTCTCCAGTAAGGCAAGAGGAGACAAGAGCTTGAAACACTGACTTCACAGGAACACGGTGATCCAGCCTAGCAACTGAGCTAACGGCATAGCAGGGTTTCTATGGACGTGTGTCAAATGCTGGGGGTGCTGCGGGGAGAGAGGACAGATGCTGAGACACAGGCACAGGTGACAAGTGGGGAGAGGGCTTGGTCCACAGCAGAGAACTCCCACAGAGGGCACAGCCAAGCAGCCTGCTAGGCAGACTGAGCCCAGCTGGACAAAACAGACAAGCCCAAGGACATCCCTTCTTCTACACTGGGTACTATGTCCAAAGTCAAGATCATTATTGAGGCTGGGCGCCCTGGTTCACCCCTCTAATCCCAGCACTTTGGGAGGCCGAGGTGGACAGATCATTGGAGGTCAGGAGTTCGAGGCCAGCCTGGCCAACGTAGCAAAACTCCATCTCTACTAAAAATACAAAAATTACCCGGGCGTGGTAATGCATGCCTGTAGTCCCAGCTACTCGAGAGGCAGAGGCAGGAGAATCATTTAAACCCTCGAGGCGGAGGCTGCAGTGAGCCGAGATCTCGCCACCACACTCCAGCCTGGGCAACACAGAGAGGCTCTGCCTCAAACAAAAGATTGTTACTAGATCTGTATCTTGGTTGCCACTAGGGTGGGAGGATTAAAAACCCACCTTCTCCAGAGACCCTCCCTCCTCCATCCTCACCTGCCATCCTGAACCCTGCCCGGTGTGACCTGGGCCTGACTTCCAGGGGCACTTGCTGTCTATAAATCAGTATGTGCTTAGTGGCTTGAGTTTCACTGAGGTCGGATTACCCTGCTTCACCGCAGGGGCGACGTTAGACCTGGTCCCAGTGAGTTTCAGGAAGGAAAACTGACACACCGTTTTCAATTTCTATTTCAAGTTTATGAGAAAACTTGCCTGTAATAAACCTAAGGAAGGGTTCATAGCCCAGGTGAAGGGCCCCTCCCCTAGATATCTGAGTGGCTGGTTCTCGTGGCCGCAGGTCACAGCAAGGACACCGCCGGCTGGATGACCATTCCACTTTAAAACGCAGCCCTGATGGCCAGGCGCATGGTTCACGCCTGTCATCCCAGCACTTTGGGAGGCCAAGGTGAGTGGATCACCTGAGGTCAGGAGTTCGAGACCAGCGTGGCCAACATGGTGAAACCCCGTCTCTACTAAAACTACAAAAATTAGCCAGGCGTGGTTGCAGGTGCCTGTAGTCCCAGCTACTCGGGAGGCTGAGGTAGGAGAATCACTTGAACCCAGGAGGTGGAGGTTGTAGTGAGCCAAGATTGTGCCACTGCACTCCAGTCTGGGCGACAGAGTGAGATTCTGTCTCAAAAATAAAAATTAATTAACAAAGTGCAGCCCTCCCAAGATCTCATCCTCCTCCTGCTCTCTCCCACAGAACCATTTAACATGCTGCTTCTCATTTTCCCACCTCCCTAGAATGCTGAGTCTCATGGTGTGGGGATTTCTGTCAACACATCCCCCAGCATAAGGACAGGACCAGGCATGGAAGGGACACACGACAAACATATGTTGAGTGACTGCATCAAAGGACTGGGATAAAGGGAGACAGGGCACGGAGGTCCAGCCTGTGACATGAGTACAAGGTATTTCCTCTCAGCTGAACTATGGGAGTAGAATCCGTACAGCAAGTATTTGTCAGGTACAGCTGGGCACAGTGGCGCAGGCCTGTAATCGCAGCACTTTGCAGGGCTGAAGCAGGTGGATCATCTGAGGTCAGGAGTTTGAGACCAGACTGGCCAACATGGCAAAACCCCATCTCTACTAAAAATACAAAAAAAAAAAAATTAGCCAGGCATGGTGGTGCACACCTGTAGTCCCAGCTACTCAGGAGGCTGAGGCAGGAGAATAGTTTGAACCCAGGGGCGGAAGATGCGGTGAGCCAGTATCGCGTCACTGCACTCCAGCCTGGGCGACAGAGTGAGTGAGACTCTGTCTCAAAAAGAAAGAAAAAAGAAAAAGAGAATAAGAAAATATTTGTCCCGAGGCAGGTGGATCACGAGGTCAAGAGATCGAGACCATCCTGGTCAACATGGTGAAACCCCGTCTCTACTAAAAATACAAAAATTAGCTGGGCATGGTGGCGCGTGCCTGTAATTCCAGCTACTCAGGAAGCTGAGGCAGGAGAATTGCTTGAACCTGGGAGGCAGAGGTTGCGGTGAGCCGAGATCGCACCATTGCACTCCAGCCTGGGTAACGAGAGCAAAACTCCATCTCAAAAGAGAAAAAAAAAAAAAAGAAAGAAAATATTTGTCAACTAGGACTGTCTTATTTTCAGTTCAGCATGGTGGCTCACACCTATAATCCTAGCACTTTGGGAGGCCCAGGCAGGAGGACGGCTTGAGGCCAGGGGTTTGAGACCAGCCTAAGCAACATAGCAAGACCCTGTCTCTATTAAAAAAAATAATAATAAGACCTCATCTCTATAAAAAAGTAATAATAAAAAAGTATTTTTCACTGGCTTCAGCCTCTGTATCAAAAGGTTTACTATATTGTAAAAGCAAAACTTTAAATGATCAAGATTTTAAGATGACCTCTTCAGATCTTAAAAACCAAAAGGCAGAAAATAGACTTTATTCCAGACAGATTTGTAAAGGCAAGTCACGCTACTAAATCAAACGTTTCTGGGTCTCCCTGCTCTGAGCCTGGCACTGCGGCCAAGCCTCGGCGGGGGTGCTCGGCCCTTGGCCCACAGGAACTTGGCCTCGATTCTCTTCCTGAGGGGCTTCTCAACTTTTCCGAGCCAGGCAGTGAGCGGGGCGGGCGGCTGAGGCTGGTGCCCGTGGGGAGCTTCAGATTGAATCCCGGCCACGGTGCTTCTGGGGTCCCCCAGTGAGCTTGTGGTGTGGCCGGTGGCCAGGAAAGGCCACAAGCAGGGTGGCTTGAATGAAAACCACAGGCTGAAAGCAGCCAGGCTCCCTTGCTGAAAGTGGGTTTCAGTCCGAGGCACGTGCATGGCCTTGGCCAGATGCAAACCGAGACCACCGCGACAGAGGGGGACCTCCCAAGCACCGCGTTCAAGCGAAGCTTTCTTAAGATGGACTTCTCAGGCCAGACGTGAAGCCAGACACTGCCCGTGCTACCTGGAGAGAGCAGGGACGTGCTGGCCACAGCGGCCCACCAACGGCCAACGTTCTGCGCCAAGTTCCACAGGCCTCACCCGCAGCTGGAGAGGGACCCTGCCCCAGATCCTCCTGGTAGGTACCTGCTAAGGGGTTCAGGAGAGAGCGTCACAGTGCACGCAGGGTACTGATCCGCCGCCACCAAGAACCCCGGGGCGCTGGCCATGCGCTGGCCTCTGCCAAGCAATGCCAGCGGTTCCCCGGCCGGGGCCGCCCAAGCAGGCGAAGGAGGAGGTTTAGATGAATGACTTGGCCAGGGTCACCATGTGGTCCACACCACACGCCACATCCACGGGCTCCCCAGGCATCGTCACCTGAAAAATAAGACCCAGCATACCATGAGAGTGGCACACCCGCAGGAGGCAGGCACTGGCACTGCCGTGCTGGCCCTGCCTCTCAGTAGGAGACACCTCTCCAGCCTTGGCTCCCTCCACTCTGGGAATGGGGGCACTTATGCCTCCTCAGCAGGTCCACCAGGGCAACTGTGTGTGGCCACAAGGACAAGGCCATCCCTACTCCCTCCAGTCAACAGCAGCCATCGCCATCCATCAGCCTGAGAGGCCAGGCTGGGTAGGAACGCAGGCCTGCGCACCCTGGAACGGGCAGGCCCCCACAAGGACTGCTCCCTCTGACCCTGACACCACCAGGCTCCGTGCCTCCAGGCCAGGTGTTCAGGCTCCCCCCTGGGAGCCACTGCTATGGCTCACTGAGAAGCTCCAGGGGCCGGGCACTACAGCTCACACCCATTATCCCAGCACTTTTGGAGGCCGAGGCAGACGATCACTTGAGGTGAGAAGTTCAAGACCAGCCAGGTGTGGTGGTGTGTGCCTGTAATCCCAGCTACTCAGGAGGCTGAGGTGGGAAAATCGCTTGAACCTGGGAGGTGGAGGCTGCAGTGAGTTGAGACTGCACCACTGCACTCCAGCCTGGGTGACAAAGCGAGACTCCATCTCAAAGGAAAGGCTCCAGAAACCCTTTCTCTTGCCTTGCAGGTCCAGTCTGGGAACCAGGCCCCACTGGCCCAGCATCTGCAATCATTTTACCCATCATGCCCAGCTCCAGTCACAGGCAGGCTGGGTCCCAAGCTCCCACCAAGGAGTGGCTGTGTCTCAAAGGCCCTTACCAGGAGCCCTGACCACAGTGCCTGTCTGGGCTGACAACATGGCCTCAGAGGACAGCCCAAGCCTCAAGGGAGCAAGAAGAGGGCCTCGCTGAGCCATGGAGGCTCTAGCCTGTTTGAAGGATGCCCACTGTGCTATTGCCTCGCCATGAAAACAGACACCCCAACAGCTCCACATATGCCCAGGGCCATGGCCAAGCCAGCTGTCCGGGAAAGGAGCCCTGACTTTCTCTTTCTTGCTCACTGTGACTAGGCAGTCCATTCACATAGCTGCATGATATAGGACATTCCATAAAGAGGAAGAAAAAAGTATTAAATGTCTTCTATGCTGGGCGCAGCGGCTCACACCTGTAATCCCAGCACTTTGGGAGGCCAAGGCGGGCAGATCACATGAGGTCAGGAGTTCAAGACCAGCCTGACCAACATGGTGAAACCCTGTCTCTACTAAAAATACAAAAATTAGCCAGGCGTGGTGGCGCATGCCTATAACCCCAGCTATGTGGGAGGCTGAGGCAGGAGAATCGCTTGAAGGGAGGTGGAGGTTACAGTGAGCTGAGATCACGCCATTGCACTCCAGCCTGGGCGACAGCAAGACTCTGTCTCAAAAAAAAAAAGTCTTATTACCACCCCGTCACCAGCTGCCCCAGTCCCCACCTGCCTTTGAACTGGAAACTACTTTGAACAGATTTCTTATTAACCTTCCAGAGGTTTGTTTTGTTTTTAAGAGACAGGGTCTCACTTTGTTGCCCAGGCTGGAGTACAGTGGTCCAATCATAGCTCACTGCAGGCTTAACCTCCTGGGCTCAAGTGATTCTCCTGCCTTAGCCTCCTAAGTAGCTGGGACTACAGGCATGTGCCACCATGCCTGGCTAATTTTGTTTGTACAGACAGGGGTCTCACTATGTTGCCCAGGCTGGAGTACAGAGACACCGTCACAGCTCACTGCAACCCTGAACTCCTGGGCTCAAGTTATCCTCCCACCTCAACCTCCCAAGTAGCTAGGACCACAGCAGTGCACCACCGTGCTCAGCTTATTTGTGTATTTTTTGTAGGGACAGGATCTTGCCATGTTCCCCAGGCTGGTCTCAAACTCCTGGGCTCAAGTGATTTTCCTGCCTCAGCCTCCCAGAGTTCTGGGAATCCAGGTGTGACCCAGAGGCCTGGCCTTCCAGAGGTTCTTTATGCAGAGAAGCAGATATGCAGTTCTTCCTTTCTTGAGTGCTACCTGCAAAGAAAGGGCGTGGCCTGGCTTGGCCCGAAGACCCCTGCCAGGATGCTGGCACTTGATCTACTGACCAGATCCGAATACAACCACCCTCCCCGGGTGGCGGCACGCGGCCAGGCGGTGTGACAGCTGGAAAGGGGATATGTCACAGTCTGTGGAGTTTACCGAGCTTAAGAGGGAAAACACCTAATCCAGATGGTGTGGCCTTACAAGCAGAGAGGCAGCAGGCGCCGACCCCGGAGCTTTGCACCTACGCTGGGGAGACAAGACCATTAGGGAATCCCGGTCGCAGGCAGATGGATGCTGTAGACCAAGCCATGCTGGCCTCCCCCTACCCTGTCCCTAAACAAATGAATGTCTTTAGCAGAACCTGTTACAGGAATCACTAAACAAACAAGAATGGGACCCAGTCCATCACAAAGGCACGTCTATGCCGACAGCCTGCGAGGCTGGCGGAGAAGAAAACAGGCTGCCTGGGCCCCGCCGGCCTCTTAGCAACCTCCCCAGCCATTAGGGAGCACTCTATTTGCCTTCCGCCTCCCCTCTCACCCGCCTCCCCACTCACCCCCCTCCCCTCTCACCTGCTTCCCCTCTCACCCGCCCCCCCACTCACCCGCCCCCCCTCTCACCTGCCTCCCCACTCACCCCCCTCCCCTCTCACCTGCTTCCCCACTCACCCGCCCCCCTCTCACCCGCCTCCCCACTCACCCCCCTCCCCTCTCACCTGCTTCCCCACTCACCCGCCCCCCCACCACCTCCCCTCTCACCCGCCCCCCCACTCACCCGCCCCCCCTCTCACCCGCCCCCCCACTCACCCGCCCCCCACTCACCCGCACCCCCCTCACCGCCTCCCCTCTCACCCGCCTCCCCACTCAGCCGGGCCCCCCCACTCACCCGCCTCCCCTCTCACCGCCTCCCCTCTCACCCACCTCCCCTCTCATCCAGGTCCTCATTCCCCCAGGGCTCCAGCCATTCAAGCCCAAAGCAGAGGAACCCTGGGGAGCGGCAGGAGGCTCCCGAGGTTCCAGCTCCCCCTGGCGGACAATCTCACAGTCTCTGAACTGAGTCCAAGAGGAGACTGCCCTGGGCCATGTTTTATTTTCGTCCTAGGCAAGGTTAAATGGCGTTTTTCTTCTAAGCCAATTTACACTCACAGCTCCGCTGCTGAGGGAAACAGCTCCAAAACCCAGCACCACATTTAGCCTCAGTGACTCTCTTAAAAGTCTCAGCAGAATCCATTTAGGAACATCCCCATCCACAATTACAAGTCCCTAAAACAAACGCCCACCACGTGAAAGACAGGTGCAGGAAGGAGGTCCTTGGTGGAGACCAGAGAGCCCGGGAAAGGGAGACTGCTCAGGCGCCCAGCTCTGCCGCTCAGAGGCCACCTTTTTTTTTTTTTTTTTTTTTTTTTTTTTTTTTTTTTTTGATACAGAGTCTCGCTCTGTTGCCCAGAGGCTGGAGTATAGTGGCGTAATCCTGGCTCACTGCAACTTCCACCTCCCGGGTTCAAGTGACTCTCCTGCCTCAGCCTCCCAAGTAGCTGGGATTACAGGCGCCTGCCACCACGCCCAGCTAATTTTTTGTATTTTTAGTAGAGGTGAGGTTTCACCACGTTGGCCAGGTTGGTCCTGAACTCCTGACCTCAAGTGATCCGCCCGCCTTGGCCTCCCAAAGTGCTGAGATTACAGGCGTGAGCCACCGCACCCGGCCTGAACATAGCTGTTTTACAGAATAAACCAGCTAGGCATGGTGGCTCACCCCTGTAATTCCAACACTTTGGGGGGCCAAGGTGGGAAGACCACTTGAGGCCAGAAGTTTGAGACCAGCCTGGGCAGCACAGCTGACCCCAGCTCTTAAATAATAAAATAAATTAAAAAATAATATGAATAAGTTGGGTGTGATGGCACATGCCTGTAATCTCAGCTATTTTGGAGGCTGAAGCAAGAGGATCACTTGAGCCTAGGAGGTTGAGATCAACATATAAGACACTGTCTCTTAAAAGAAAAAAATTATTTGGGTATGGTGGCACATGCCCATCATCCCATCCCACATTCCCGTTACTTGGGGCTGAGGCGGGAGGATCACTTGAACCTGGGAGACAGAGGCTGCAGTGAGCCGAGATCCTGCCACTGCACTCCAGCTTGGGTGACAGCAAGACCCTGTCTTAAAAAAACAGAGAAAATTAAAACCCCTGTCATTTTTTTTTAATGAGACAACAGAAGGGACTGGACCCTCTCACCCCTAATCCAAAGAGGACAGGGGTCAAGACCACGCCCCTGCACAATGCTTAGGGGCTCCCTGAATGTGCAAGAGGCACAACAATGGCTTGCCACCAAATGCTGCCATCACGGGGACAGGCTGGTATGCCCTATTCCTGACAGCACAAATGTGTTTAAAAAGCAGGCCAGGCGCAGTGGCTCATGCCTGTATCCCAGCACTTTGGGAGGCTGAGGGAAGCAGATTGCTTGAGGCCAGAAGTTTGAGACCAGCCTGGGCAACAGAGTAAGACCCCCATCTCTGGTGTATGCCTGTGGTCCCAGTTATTCAGGACGCTGAGGTGGGAGGATCACCTGAGCCCAGCAAGGTCGAGGCTGCAGTGAACTGTGATCACCTCACTGCAATCCAGCCTGGGTGACAGAGTGAGACCCTGTCTCATAAAAGGCAAAAACAAAAAAAGCAAAAGTCTCCATTTGACCTTGCTTTCTCAGGGCCTCCACCACGGTCGTGAACAAAGGATTCTGAGCCTACTGAATCCACGGGGAACCAAGAGAAGCAGCAACCAAGGAAAGAGCCAAGAGAAACCATCCCTGTGACACCCAAGTGCTCCGAACACAGTGCTGCGGGTTTGCGACACATGGACCCTTTTTTAAAAAAAACTATGTATTTCTGGCTGAGCACGGTGGCTCACAAGTGTAATCCCAGTACTTTGGGAGGCCAAGACAGGCAGATCACTTGAAGTCAGGAGTTCAAGACCAGCCTGGCCAAGATGGTGAACCCTCATCTCTACTAAAAATACAAAAATTAACCAGGCATGATGGCACACGCCTGTAATCCCAGCTACTCGGGAGGCTGAGGATACTCAAGCAGGAGAATCGCTTGAACCTGGCAAGTGTAGGCTGCAGTGAGCCAAGATCGTGCCATTGCACTCCAGCCTGCATGGTAAAAGAAAGACTTCATCTCAAAAAATAATAATAATAAGTAAATAAGACATTTCTTTTGCAAGTCCTTATTTTTTAACAAGTCTTTTTTAAAAATGCTTTTCACAGTTTTGAAGCAAATTAAAATCCACCCTTGAGATGAGGTACACCCATATGCACACTGCACACACAGACATGAGTCTCTATGCAGAGGCTAGCTTTGGAAAGAAACAGAAACTAGCAGCCAGGTGTGGTGGCTCACAACTATAATCCCAGCACTTCGGGAGGCTGAAGCAAGCAGTTCACCAGAGGTCAGGAGTTCGAGACCAGCCTGACCAATATGGTGAAACCCCATCTCTACTAAAAATATAAAAATTAGCCAGGCGTGGTTGCGGGTACCTGTAGTCCCAGCTGCTCGGGAGGCTGAGGCAGGAGAATCCCTTGAACCTGGGAGGCGGAGGTTGCAGTAGGCCGAGATTGCACCACTGCACTCCAGCCTGGGCGACAGAGGGAGGTCCGTCTCAGAAAAAGAAAAAAGAAAAAAAGAACTAGGACCTGTGGCTGCCTCTGGAGCAGAAACTGGGTGGTGGGAGACTGATTTTCCATAGTACATTTTTTTGTACCATGAACATATGTTCCATGTTCCAAAAAACCCCAAAACCCTCCTTTTTTAGAATGCCTTAAATAGCTTAGTAAACAACGCAAAGGTAACTACCATTTCAGAAGGAATCTTTCTTCCCCTGTAATTCTGGAATGAGCCTTTTTGTCTAACTGCATACCACCACTTCCAAGGAGGCGACCTTATTTTTTCACTTCGTGGCTGCGGCTGGGCCATCTGAATATTAAATGTCGTGCTTTCTTTTAAGTTCACTGTAAAGCATTCCCTACATGGGCTTACATCAACAGCTCCTAACGTGCTACCTTCATCAAGTATCTCCCACCTCTGGAGCCCCACGGCATCCTACCGGAGCCTTGCGCCATCGTGCCTTTGTTTCCCCGATCCGGATGCTTGGGTTGGCCACTCCCTGCAACCTCCCACTCAGCGGGCAGGGATGAGCTAACCCAGTTCCTGCAGCTCGAGAGCCTGGTGCCACTCCCCCGCCTACCATACCACATGGATACTCCACAGGTATCCCGTGGGTGTCACCAGAGCGTGCTGCAGCACAGCATGCGGCTGGAGAAGCACAGCCGGGACCCGGAAGGGGGGGCGGGTCCTGGGCCCCTTGTCCTGGCCCAGCTGCACTGGAGGTGATGGCCTGCTGTGATGTCAGGTGACTCTACTCTCTTCGCCCCGCCCCGGTCAGCCTTACCCTCCATGGGAAATACTGATCCTCCAGGCGACCGATTCCTAGGCACCCTCGGATGTTCTTGCCCCACACGAACAGCTCTCCTTTGTCTGCAAAGAGAGGAAAACAGGGGTTGGCTGGGACTGTGCCAAGAACAGTCTCCAGGGAGAGGATGGGTCACGAGAACAGGCTTTCTAGAACCAGGTGCATTCACAGCCCGATGTTCAACTTCAACTTTTACCAAACCTTAATGCTTTCTTTTAAAGGCAAAAAGTAAGTGTCTGAGATGCTGTCCCCATGTCAAAAACAGGTCCACGCCCAGGACTTGTGCTGCCACCCACATGGGAGATGAGCACTCCAATAAAGCTGGGGATGGAGGGCGGTGCACAGGGTGGTGGGGCAGGGGGCGGTACACGGGGCTGGGGGCTGGGGGTGGTGTATGGAACTGGGGGTGGTGCACAGGGCTGGGGTTGGTGTATGGGGTTGGGGCTGGGCGTGGTGTATGGGGCTGGGGCAGGGGGCGGTGCACGGGGCTGGGGTTGGTGTATGGGGTTGGGAGCTGGGGGTGGTGCCACGGGGCTGGGGGATGGGGATGGCGCACGGGGCTGGGGGCTGGGGGTGGCGCACGGAGCTGGGGGTGGTGTATGGGGTTGGGGGCTGGGGTGGTGCACAGGGCTAGGGGCAGGGGGTGCTGGTACATAGGGCTGGGGGCTGGGGATGGTGCACAGAGCTGGGGTCCAGGGGTGGTGCACAGGGCTGGGGGCTGGAGGTGGTACACGGGGCTGGAGGTCACTAGTGCACAAGGCCCACTCTGCTCACCCCGTGCACCCCACCTACAGCCATATCCCACCAAACTCTGCCCTCCACAAATCTTCCTGATTTGACAGTGAAAAGTAGGATGATGTCATTCCTGGTTTGACTGCCGTATCTTGGGAGCATTCAGCCACAGGACATCTAATGACCGAGTGCCTGCTTGTGCTGGCTCTGGGTGTGTGTTCCAGGAGCTGGGGACAGGCCAGAGATGGGACAGACATATGATTTTAATGTCTGTTTACAAACTGTAAAACCGTCACAAAGAGAAAGTACAGGACGCTGTCACAGGCCAGCGCAGGAGGTGGGCTGGAGTAGCCCGGCCTTCAGGTGGGACTGTCTGCACCAGATGGGGCACTCCTGGCCCATGTCACCATCGGCTGTCATGCAAAAGGCTTGGGTCATGACAGGCAGAGGAAGTGATGTGGAAAAGCCAGGCCTCCAAGAACCGGGCCAACGGAGTAAGGAATAGTTACAAGCTGTCTTAGCTGCCCTGATCTGACCGTGCCCCTTGTCTTCCACACTCAGACCTTATATAGTTTTTGTGTGTATGCGTTTTTGTTTGCTTTTGAGTCAGGGTCTTACTCTGTCGCCCAGGCTGCAATGCAGTGGCACAAACACAGCTCACTGCAGCCTTGAACTCTTGAGCTCAAGCAAGCCTTCCACCTCAGCCTCCCGAGTAGCTGGGACTACAGGCGCACATCACCATGCCCAGCTAATTTCTGCCTTTTTTGTAGAGACAGGATCTCACTGTGTTGTCCAGGCTGGTCTCAAACTCCTGGGCTTGAGGGACCCTCCCATCTCGGCCTCTAGAAGTGCTGGAATTAGAAGCATGAGCCACTGTGCCCAGCTAGACCTTAGGTGTTTAACAGAACAGTTCGGTCTGGCTCCCCAGAATGCTAGCCGACTGCAGGATCAACCAACCAACTTCACTTCCCAGACAGCTGTCTGCAAATGCCAGGCACACAGGCAGAGGGGCAGCCACGCTCTGTCTACCAACAGGCAGTAACTCGCCCTTAGAAGGTGACCTGTTGGTAGCCTTCGGGAGAAATCAAGAAAGGAATTTCATTTCGCTGTGACCTGAAATGGCTACGTGGCATAAGGGCAAATAGAAAAGGCTTTGCTCGGCCAGGCGTGGTGGCTCATGCTTGTAATCCCAGCACTTTGGGAGGCCGAGGCGGGTGGATCACGAGGTCAAGAGATCAAGACCATCCTGGTCAACATGGTGAAACCCCATCTCTACTAAAAATGCAAAAAAATTAGCTGGGCATGGTGGCACGTGCCTGTAGTCCCAGCTACTCGGGAGGCTGAGGCAGGATAATCGCTTGAACCCGGGAGGCAGAGGTTGCAGTGAGCTGAGATTGCGCCACTGCACTCCAGCCTGGGCAACAAGAGCGAAACTCCGTCTAAAAAAAAAAAAAGAAAGAAAGAAAAGCCTCTACTGCAGTCAAATGCTTCACACAGATTTCTGAACACGTGACTCCGCCCAGAGCTGAGGCCTTAAGAACATTCTGGAAAGTAGATATTTGTTGCCCCCAAAATTAGTCCATACGACTCTGATTTGCCAAATCAAAATAGCTTTAAGAATTCACGAGACCTAGAAATATCAGCAAATGCAAGCGGCCGCTCCGGGGCAGTGGGAAGGCATTCAACCCAGAGCCAAGGAAAACTCCGACCCACAGCCATCAGAACCAGGCTGCAGTCTGCCCGCTCCACAGCCTCTGAAACCTGGAGTTCAGACCGTAAGTGAATAGCACTTAGGACCCTGGTTCAGAGGGCAGGCGTCTGCGACAGGCCCCACGTGGGAATGAGGCCAGAGAACTCAACCAAAGGCCGCACGAACTGACTGTCCCGGCCCAGATGTTTCAAAAGAAAACAATTCTTGCCATGAGATGAGAAGATTGTTTAATTGCAAGGAAATAACTAATTTCCTTGAGAATCACAGAATGAAGCGGTTCAGGACAGTGTTACTACTCAGGTCGGCTGAAGGGCAGCAAACTGATTCATGGTAACTATGGGAGTAAGGGACGTAGGCAACGGAAAAGCACATTCTGGAGGCCTGCAGGGTAACCAGGTATTCCGTGGCTCTGTAACTGGGCAAGCCTTTGGGGAAAACCTTCGTCTAACTCCCTTTCATCCTCTGCCCCGGCACTGTGGAGAAATCGGTAGATTTACCTCTGTGAAACCACAGGACAGTCTGACAGATCGGCCTTTTGCCATCCCGTATCCTGGGTCAGATCAGGGGCTGGGCTGGGCCGGGGAACAGGAGTTAAGTCCCACACACTCACTTCCTAAGTGCCCACCCGTGGATCCGCCAATGCTGGTTTCCCCGGCACCCGACGTGCTCACGATGCCCTCTTCCTACCACCGACGGGCGGTCTCTTGAGAAGATGCATGTTCACGTTAGCCTACTCGCAAACCAAATGGACCGAAAGCAAAACTCCAGGGTGGGAGAAACAAGACACATTACCCAAGCACGAGGCAAGCAACTTCTGGCTCAGCCCTGGCTTCAGTCCTCAAACAAAGGCGCCGCTCTGCTGAACGGGTGGAACCTGAGACCTGCCGGCAGTTTGGGGTTGAACTTGAAAGAGAGAACCTCTGCCAGGCTTACCCCGGGGCCGCTGGGGCTTGGTCACTTACTGGTCAGTGCAGCAAAGTGGCTGAGTCCACATCGGATGCGGGAAACGCGGACTTCTGGGTTGAACTCCGTCAGGCCAAAGAGAGTGGGCGGAATCATTTCAGGGATGGCAGTTTCCACTAGGTTTGGGCCTTTGCCAAGAATTCCATAGCCCCAGACAAAAACATGTCCCTCTCCTACATTACAGCAGAAACAAGGGTCAGTGAGTCCCTCCAAGTAAGACCCTCCCTCACCAGAAACTCAAACTACACCACCAAGGTTCACGGGAGTTACACAGTTTTGCTTTTGTTTTGTTTTTTTCCTCCTTGCTTGGCAAGAACACGTGGGCAGAGATTTAGATTAATTCTCTCTCCCCTGCCTCAATCCTTGCTGGGGGAGTCTCTCTCGCCAGCTTTCCTGGCTCAGAACACAAACTTCCCACATCTTGAGGGTTAGTAACCTGGAGGGAACCAGGGCATAAATCAGCCAGAAAACCCCTGTGAACACCAGAGACCCAGAGGAGGTTTTTTGACGGCTCTGTGTTTCGCACTGATCAGAAGACAAGCCAAACACATAAACCATGTCTGGCCAGATGCTTCCAACTCTTAGAAATGATGTTTTGGTTATAGAAAGTTTCATATTCTTCAGTGGTGCCAGGCGTTTCATCGCTCTCCAAAGCTGAAGGCTGTTCTCCCATCTGCCTTTGATTTTTTGCCTGGAGAAGGCAAAGCTGGAATCTCTCTGGCCCCGGCTAAGGGAGGGGAACGAGGTAGTTCACTCTCCACTCCATCGTTCCGCTCTAGAAGGACCCGGCTCTGCAGACATGTGTCTACATCGCAGGCTAGTCGCTTGCTGTCAAGAACTCCACCCACACCCTGTAATGACTGAACTCAATCCAACGACATTTTCCCATGACCATAGTCCCTTCCTTTCTTAAACAGGGTCTTGCCGGGCACGGTGGCGCGTGCCTGTAGTCCCAGCTACTAGGGAGGCTGAGGCTGAGGATCTCTTGAGCCCAGGAGTTCTGGGCTGTTGTGCGCTATGCTGATCAGGTGTCCGCACTAAGTTCGGCATCAATATAGTGACCTCCTGGGAGCGGGGGACCAGCAGGTTGCCTAAGGAGGGGTGAACCGGCCCAGGTCAGAAATGGAGCAGGTCAAAACTCCTGTGCTCATCAGTACTGGGATTGTGCCTGTGAACAGCCACTGCACTCCAGCCTGGGCAACACGGGCAGACCCTGTCTCTTAAAAAAAAAATAATACAGGGTCTCACTCTGTCGCCCACGCTGGAGTGCAGTGGCATGATCATAGCTCACTGCAGCCTCCAACTCCTGGGCTCAGGGGACCTCTGCCTCAGCCTCCTGAGTAGCTGGGACTACAAGTGTGCACTACCATGCTCAGCTAATTTTTCATTTACTCTTTTTCTATTGAGGCAGAGTCTCGCTCTGTCACCCAGGCTGCAGTGCTGTGGCGAGATCTCTGCTTACTGCAACCTCTACTTCTCGGGTTCAAGCAATCCTCCCACCGTAGCCTTCTAAGTAGCTGGGATTACAAGCATGCACCACCATGCCTGGCTAATTTTCCTATTCTTAGTAGAGGCAGGGTTTCACGATGTTGGCCAGGCTGGTGTCGAACTCCTGACCTCAGGTGATCCGCCACTCTCAGCCTCCCGAAGTGCTTGGATTACAGGTGTGAGCGACCACAACCCAGCCTTCCGGCTAATTTTTCCATTTTTTTGTAGAGAAGGGTCTCATTATATTGCCTGGGCTGGTCAGGAACTCCTGGCCTCAGTTCTCCAAAGTGCTAGGATTACAGGTGTGAGCCACCACGCCCAGCCACGTTACCCTGCTAGGGCTGAAGTCTACAAATCCAATGGACACTGACCATTCCCTGTGCAATCTACCCACAGCTTCCCAATGAGCCACCCAAAAGAAGGTCTCACCATTTAACACCGCACAGCCCGTGCCACCGCAGGCAGCCTCTTGCACCTTCCCCACTCCTGAGAAGTGTAAGCACCGGGGCACATTCACCTGAACCAAAGAAAGGAGCCACACCATCAGGAAAGCAAACCAGTAAGGACCAGGAAGTGTTCTGGTCTTAGGTACAGAGTATCTGAGTCCCAGTTCATTCATTCACTCCGCAGATACTTACTAAACATCACATACCAAGCATCATGCTAGGTGCTGCGGTATAGTAGTGAGCAAAAGAGACCCAGTTTCCACCCGCAGAGAGTTCTAGTCTAGTGGAAGAGGCAGATGCCAATCAAAATTAACATAAAATTACACATTTGTGGCTGGGTGCGGCAGCTCACACCTGTAATCCCAGCATTTTGGGAGGCCAAGGAGGGTGGATCACTTGAGGCCAGGAGTTTGAGCCAGCCTGGCCAACATGGTGAAACCCTGTCTCTACTAATAATACAAAAAAATTAGTCAGGCATGATGGCATGTGCCTGTAGTCCCAGCTCTTTGTGCGGCTGAGGCAGGAGAATCACTTGAACCCAGGAGATAGAGGTTGCGGTGAGCTGGGATCACACCACTGCACTCCAGCCTGGGTGACAGAGTGAGACCCTATCTCAAAATAAAACATAATAAATAAATAATAAATGTGTGTTGTTTTAATCCACTATGTATTGGGGCCATTTGTTACGTGGCAACAGCAAACAATGGCATGCCACTGGATCTGTCCTCCAGAGGAAGGCCATGGGTGACATTTCTCTCAGGTCTTGGTATCAGGGAGAGCCATAGTTCTCCCCTTTTCTTAGGGAAACAACGAATCATTTAAATGATCATGTTTCTTCTTTGCTTTGCCTACTAGGGAGCTCAGAACCAAATCTGCAACCATCTTCTAGCTACTGTACCGGACCTCAGAGGGTTTCTTTTTTTAAAATCTTATTAGCTGACCTTTGGTTTCCCTTTGTGCAGATTTCTCTATTAATATGTATTTAAAACCCTGCTGTACGATGTCACAAATTTGATCCTATCAAGGAATGTAATATGATTATTTCTAGAGACGGGATCTTACTACGCTGCCCAGGTTGGAGTGCAGCAGCCAGCCACAGGCGTGACCGCAACACGGGGCAGCCCCAAACTGCAGCTACGCAGCAGCCAGGCACGGCCTGGCCATGCCCATAATCCCAGCAGTGCGGGAGGCCGAGGTGCGAGGATCACTTGAGGACAGGAGCTTGAGACCAGGCTGGGCATAAAAGCAAAACCCTGTCTCTATAAACAAAAATTTCCTTTCATTAGCTGGTATGATAGCATGCACCTGTAGTCCCAGTTACTACGGAGGCTGAGGCGGGAAGACTGCAGCAAACTATCATAGCACTCCAGCCCAGACCACACAGTGAGACCCTGTGTCGAAAAAAAACAAAACCAACACAAACAAAAAACTAGCCATTAGCGGTATGGGGTTTTTTGGAGGAGTGATTAAAATGTTCAGAAGTTAGGCTGGGCACGGTGGCTCATGCCTGTAATCCCAGCACTTTGTGAGGCCGAAGCGGGAGGATCACCTGAGGTGGGGAGTTCAAGACCACCCTGACCAACATGGAAAAACCCCAACTCTGCTGAAAATACAAAATTCGCTGGGCGTGGTGGCACATGCCTGTAATCCCAGCTACTCAGGAGGCCGAGGCGGGAGAGGCACTTGAACCCGGGAGGTGGAGGCTGCAGTGAGCTGAGATTGCACTATTGCACTCCAGCCTGGGCTACAAGTGTGAAACTCCATCTCAAAAAAAAAAATTGTTGTGAAATTAGACAGTGGTAACAGCTGCTCAGCATTGTGAATATGTTAATACTAAAATCCACTAAATTATAAACTTTAAAATGGTGAATTATGGTATGTCAATAATATCTCTATTTTTTATACTGGCTGTCAGTCATTGTGGAACATGAGTGACGGGTAGAGAGAGATTAGTTCCACAATTGATACGGTTTGGATCTGTGTCTCCACCCAAATCTCACGTTGAAACGTGAACCCTGATGGTGGAGGTGGGGCCTGGGGGAGTAACTGCATCACGGGATGGTTTCTCATGGGTCCACATCACCCGCTTTGGTCCTCCTGAGATCTGGTCATCAGTACAGCGGCTGCCCTGCCTACCGAGGAGTCATTCTTTATTCCTTTACTAGCTCTTTTGTTTTTGCTTTTGGTTTTTTTTGAGACAGTCTCGCTCTGTTGCCAGGCTAGAGTGCAGTGATGCACTCGGCTCACTGTAACTTCTAACTCCCTGGTCCACGCGATTCTCCTGCCTCGGCCTCCAGAGTTGCTGGGACTACAGGTGTGCACCACCACGCCCAGCCAATTGCCTTGAATGGAATTACCTGCAGTTGCCTTGCCTGGAATTGCATGGCATTGCCTTGCCTGGAATTGCCTTTCCTGGAATTGCCTTTCCTGGAATTGCCTTGAATTAGAAATGTTGGCCAGGATGGTCTTGATCTCCTGAACTCGTGATCCACCTGCCTTGGCCTCCCAAAATGCTAGGATTACAGACGTGAGCCACCGAACCTGGCTTTTTTTTTTTTTTTTTTTGAGATAAACTCTTGCTCTGTCCCCAGGCTGGAGTGCAGTGGCACAATCTCAGTTCACTGTAACCTCCAAGTGATTCAATTCTCATGCCTCGGCTTCCTGAGTAGCTGGGATTACAGGCATGCGCCACCAGGCCTGGCTAATTTTTGTATTTTTAGTAGAGATGGGGTTTTGCCATGTTTCCCAGGCTGGTCTTGAACTCCTGGCCTGAAGCAATCTGCCCGTCTCAGCCTCCGAAGTGCTGGGATTACAGGTGTGAGCCTCGCGCCTGGCCGGTGATGCTTTAATGTTTCCAAATCTCCCAGCGCCACGCCGTCAGCGACCACATACCTGTGTGGAGTCAGTGACAGAGGAGAGCTGCAGGTACTCAGAGTTCCCCCAACCAAAAAGACCGCCGTCGGCACTCACGGCCAGGCAGCAGTCACCGTAGGTGGCAACTTGGAGAACGTTCACTCCTGCCAGGTCTCCACCCAGCTTGGTGGGCGTGCTGGTGATATTGTAGTGACCCAGACCTAACGCAGTGGAAAATACGGATTTTTAATTATTCGCTCTTTTAACAAACACACGCACTGACTTACTACAGGCCAAGCACAGTTTTAAGCACTTAACACATATGAGCTCAGAAACCCTAATCTGGGCTGGGTACGGTAGCTCATGCCTGTAATCCCAGCACTTTGAGAGGCTGAGGTGGGCAGATCACTTGAGGTCAGGAGCTCGAGATCAGCCTGGTCAACATGGTGAAATCCTGTCTCTACTAAAAAAAAAAAAAAAATTACAAAAATTATCAGAGCATGGTTGCACATGCCTGTAATCCCAGCTGCTCAGGAGGATGAGGCATAAGACTCACTCGAACCTGGGAGGTGGAGCTTCCGGTTAAGCTGAGATCACACCACTGCACTCCAGCCTGGGCAAGAGTGAGGCTCCATTTCAAAAAAGGAAAGAAAGAAAGAAAGAAATCCTAATCTGTTTATTTCCATGCTCATATACCTTTTTTTTTGGAAACAGAGTCTAACTCTGTTGCCCAGGCTGCAGTGCAGTGGTTCGATCTCGGCTCACTGCAACCTCCACCTTCTGGGTTCAAGCAATTCTTTTTTTTTTTTTTGAGACAGAGTTTCACTCTTGTTGCCCAGGCTGGAGTGCAATGGCATGATCTTGGCTCACCACAACCTCCACCTTCAAGGTTCAAGCAATTCTCCTGCCTCAGCCTCCCGAGTAGCTGGGATTACAGGCGCGCGCCACCATACCCGGCTAAATCTGTATTTTTAGTAGAGGCGGGGTTTCTCCATGTTTGCCAGGCTGGTCTCGAACTCCTGACCTCAGGTGATCCACCCACCTCAGCCTCCCAAAGTGCTGAGATGACAGGATGGAGTCACTGCGCCCAGCCATTTTAAATGACTTAAACAAGCATATAAAGTAACGCCTATGCTACTACTACAATGTAAAAGAGGCAGACGTACACACACAAGAACCGGAAGACAACCCGAGACAACCAACAGGGATGGCGTCACATGGTGCTCCGATCAGAGAGAATTTATACCAGACTGAAGCTGTACACAAAGGCCTTTCTTAGGCGCAAAGACGAAATACACGGTGGAGAATGTGTAGGCCTCACTCCTCTTTCTCCTAAATGCACTAGCTCCTTTGTAATGGGGCATGTGGTTCTTCTTTAGCAGGCCTGGCTAAGCTCAGTGGTTCACCCCTGTGATCCCAGTGCTTTGGGAGGCTGAGGTGGGAGCATCACTTGAGCCCAGGAGTTCAAGACCAGCCTGGGCAACATAGCAAGACCCTCTCTCACTAAAAAAAAAAAAAAAAAAAAAAAAAAAAAAGTTTTAAAAATTATCCAGGTGTGGTATCACACACCTATAGTCCCAGCTACGTGGGAGGCTGAGGCAAGAGGATCACTTGGGCCCAGGAGTGCAAGGTTGCAGGGAGCTGTGATTGCACCACTGCATTCCAGTCTTGGCAACAGAGCAAGACTCTGTCTCTAAAAATAAGTACAATTTTTAAAACTTTTTTTTTTTTTGAGCTGGAGTCTTGCTCTGTCTCCAGGCTACAGTGCAGTGGCATACTCTCAGCTCACTGCAATCTCTGCCTCCCAGGTTCAAGCAATTCTCCTGCCTTAGCCCCTCTTGAGTAACTGGGATTACAGGTGCCTGCCACCGCTCCTAGCTAATTTTGGGTATTTTTAGTAGAGACGGGGTTTCACCACATTGGACAGGCTGGTCTCGAACTCCTGACCTTGGAATGTACCTGCCTCTGGCTCCCAAAGTGCTGGGATTACAGGCATGAGCCACCTCGCCGGCTTAAAAACTTTTTTTAAAGCCTCAAACAGCTTGTTCTCGTTTCTGAAAGACTCAGAACTCCTCTGTTTAAAGGCTAAAGATACCCCAATGCTTTCTCAGTTCATTTCTATAGGAGCCAGGGATGAGGGGAATGGAAGGGATGCAAAAAAGTAGTAGTCTCCTGCCTGGAGTCGCAGCACACCAGGAGGCCACAGCAGGCAGACTGCCTGAGGTCAGGAGTTCAAGACTGGCCTGGGCAACATGGCAAAACCCTGCGATACAAAGAATTAGCTGGGGGTGGTGGCTCACACCTGCTGTCCCAGCCACTCTGGAGGCTGCGGTGGGAGATCACCTAAGCCTGGGAGTTTGAGGCTGCAGTGAGCCATGATCACACCACTTGGGCGATGGCACCGGAGACTCTGTCTCAAAAAAGAACAGTATTCCCCAGAAAGTGTTAAGAGGTAAGAGCTGAATTAAGGAAGGAGGGTTTTAGCCCATAAAGGCCGTAGAGCTCATAGCGCCACATGCCTCAGGCTGAGAACTTTCACAACCCCAGTGCAGGGAAAGACGCTACCTGTTTGCCCATCAGCGCCCCATCCACAAGAATAGACTTCTCCTTTATCCGTCAGGAACAGACTATGATCCTGACCACAGGCCACCTGGCAGACAAACAGAGGTAAGGGTGACGAGAAGAAATGCTGAGAACGCTGTTGTCCTCATCCAAAGAGCCGAAGGACCAGCACCATGGCATACTGCTCCTGAGCACCTGGAGCACAGTCCAGGCCGGCTGCCCCCGCTCATCTTAGTCCCTCTCAATCCACCAGTCTCCCACTGCACTGAAACAGCTCGTGCTAAAGGAAAATGCGGAGCTCCAAGGGAGTAAAGCCAAGAGCTCTGCCGTCCGTCCCACGCCATCTCCAGAGAACCACCCCTCCTCCACAACCCTTCTCCTCCCAGCCCTCTCTTCCAGCCGTGCTCAGGCGCGCAGCCCCTTCTGTGGCGGCATCTCTCTCCAGGGTCGGTCTCCTGCCCTCTTCTCTCCTCACTCTTCATGCCCTAGGAGATGGCATCCATTCCCAACATTTAACAGTTGCCTCTGCACTGTGATCTCCGGTCTCCACAACTCTACTCAGTTCCAGACTCATTTTTCGAACTGCCTAATAAAAAGCACCATTTATTGAACAACGTTTACGCCAGACACTGTGCGAAGTCAATAACCAAAACCACCTAGTAAGAAACTGAATCTCAGCCAGGTGCAGTGATGCACTCCTGTGATCCCAGCACTCTGGGAGGCTGAGGCGTGTGGATCACCTGAGGCCAGGAGTTTGAGACCAGCCTGACCAATTTGGTGAAACTCCATCTCCACTAAAAATACAAAAATTAGCCAGGTGTGGTGGCACACACCTGTAATGCCAGCTACTCGGGAGCCTGAGGTAGGAGAATCACTTGAACCCAGGAGGTAGAGGTTGCAGTGAGCCAAGATCGTGGCACTGCATTAAAAAAAAAAAATCAGAGATATCTGCTAACTTGAGTAACAAAGTTACTCGATCTAATAGGTGAAGGAAACCGGGCACAGTGGCTCACACCCGTAATCCCAACCCTTTGGGAGGCCAAGGCTAGAGGATGGCTTGAGGCCAAGAGTTTGAGACCAGCCTGGCCAACACAGTGAGAACCTGTCTCTTTAAAAAAAATAATTGGCCAAGGATGGTGATGCATGCCTGGAGACCCAGCTACTCAGCAGGCTGAGGCAAGAGGATCACTTGAGCCCAAGAGTTCAAGGCTGCAGTGAGCTCTGATCGCGCCACTGTATACCACCACGGGCAACAGAGTGAGACCCTGCCTCTAAAAAATTTTAAAATAAAACCAAAAGCCAGCCATATCATAGGGTGATTAGTGCCATGGTGTTCTAGGCTGGCTGTATTTTGCTCTCCATTTTATTCTCATCCCCAGAATAGTGCCTCACTCCTGCCTGGTGCCTGTAATAATTACTGAAATGTATACATGCATGAATACAGCAAGTGCTGTGAACCTTTTGCCTCAGCCTCCCCAAATGCTGAGATTACAGGCGTGAGCCACCACAACGGACCTCAGTTAGCTTTCACCTTGTTCACCCACTAGAGTATCATCCCCCAAAATCTTTTTTTTTTTTTTTTTTGAGACAGAGTCTTGCTCTGTCCCCCAGGCTGGAGTGCAGTGGTGCTATCTCGGCTCTCCGCAGCCTCCATCTCCCACATTCAAGCAATTCCTGTGCCTCAGCCTCCCGAGTAGCTGAGATTACAGGCGTGTGTCACCACACCCGGCTAATTTTTGTTTTTTTTAGTAGAAATGGAATTTCACCATGTTGGCCAGGCTAGTCTGGAACTCCTGACTTCAGGTGATCCACCTGCCTCAGCCTCCCAAAGTGCTGTGATTATAGGTATGAGCCCCCACGCTTGGCTCCAAAATCTTATTAAACTTTGTATCCCTAGAATCTAGCATAAGTCCTAGGCTATAGTTAGCAGGCTATAATTTCTACTAAAATAATTTATTAATTCAGAAAATTTGCCATCACCTTACCCAAATCTCAACTTTTCCAAAGCACCCCCGGGAACAGAACAAGCAGATCTCGGCCCCTCTCTCTTACCTGGACCACCTGTCCATCGAAGTCCTGCATTCTGTGGACTCTGTGACTTTCACTACAGCCAGGAAAAATTGGGAAGAAGCAAGAGATGACTGGGCAGCCCTTTCCCTGTCACCCCTAACTGATGGTCCATCCACCCGACACAGTAACTGGCAGGGAAACTCTCAAGGTCAAATGTGAGGCTGAGTTAGGCCTGGCCATGAAGGTAAAACAACAAAACAAAATCCCAGGTAACTCTGACCTGCAGCAGAAGGTGAGAGTGGCGTTAAGGCCCTCCAACGTCACACAGGGAACAAAAGCGAAACGTTTTTAACACTAAAACAAACAGAACTGGCTGGGCGCGCCGGCTCACGCCTGTAATCCCACTTTTGGAGGCCAAGTGGGGGCAGATCACTTGAGATCAGGAGTTTGAAACCATCCTGGCCAAAATGACGAAACCACGTCTCTACTAAAAATACAAAAATTAGCTGGGTATGGTGGCGCGCACGTGTAGTCCCAGCTACTTGGGAGGTTGAGACATGAGAATCACTTGAACCCAGGAGGCAGAGGTTGCACTGAGCCTAAATCTCACCACTGCACTCCAGACTTCGTGACAGCAAGACTCCATCTCAAAAAATAAATGAAAAGAACTGAAATAAAGGGGGATGCTTAAAAATCAATTTGATAAAATCAAAACTTAAATTGTAAAAAGTCATCCAAAGAAGGCCGGGCGCAATGGCTCATGCCTGTAATCCCAGTACTGTGGGAAGCCGAGGCAGGTAGAATGTGAGGTCAAGAGATCGAAACCATCCTGGCCAAAACGATGAAACCCCGTCCCTACTAAAAATACAAAAATTAGCCAGGCGTGGTGGCACATCCCCGTGGTCCCAGCTACTGGAGGCTGAGGCAGGAGAATCTCTTGCATCTGGGAGGCAGAGGTTGCAATGAGCTGAGATCGCACCACTGCACTCCAGCCTGACAATAGTGGGAGACTCCATCTCAAAAAAAAAAAAATTCATCTGAAGAAGTTCTACACATCAAAACCAATGGTCAGCCAGGCGCGGTGGCTCACGCCTGTAATCCTAGCACTTTGGGAGGCCGAGGCAGGAGGATCACGAGGTCAAGAGATCAAGACCATCCTGGCCAACATGGCGAAACCTGTCTCTACTAAAAAAAATACAAAAATTAGCTGGGCATGGTGGCACGAGCCTGTAGTCCCAGCTACTCGGGAGGCTGAGGCAGGATAATTGCTTGAATCTGGGAGGCAGAGGTTGCAGTGAGCCAAGATTGTGCCATTGCACTCCAGCCTGACACCTGACACAGAGCGAGACTGTCTCAAAAAAAAATAAATTAATTAAAAAAAACCAAAAAAACAAAAAACCAATGGTCACAACCCCTCCTCTGCCATGAAGCTAAGGCATGGCACTCAACCTGAAACAGAATGCATTCTCCCAGCTTTCCAGTGAGTTCTCACGGACCCCTCTCAGACGTGCCTCTGAATGCCCCACGGGTTTACCAGTCATCTCTCTAGAAATGTTTAACACTTGGCTGGGCGCGGTGGCTCACAGCACCTTGGGAGACTGAGGCAGGTGGATCACGAGGTTAGGAGTTTAAGACCAACCTGGCCAAGATGGTGAAACCCTATCTCTACTAAAAATACCAAAAAAAAAAAAAAAAAAAAAAATTTAGCCGGACGTGGTGGCGGGTGCCTGTAATACCAGCTACTTTAGAGGCTGAGGCAGGAGAATTGCTTGAACCCAGGAGGCGGAGTTTGCCGTGAGCTGAGATGTTGCCACCACACTCCAGCCTGGGTGACAGAGCAAGACTCCGTCGAAAAAAAAAAAAGAAAGAAATGTTTAACACTTAACCCAACATGGGGAAGGGTAGGCCTTTGGGGAACTCACCTGTAAATTTCATTTTCGACCACCTTTCTTCCACATTGCCCATAAGAATTGTTTCCCATGCTGAAGACTAAAAATAACACCACCAATTAAATCAGTTCTGCAGGTTTGTGGCATCCTAGGATGTCAGGACTGGAAGGGGTCTCGAGGGTGACCCCGTCCTGGTGAGCTCACCCCCACTCCAACTGCCCCTGGGTTTCCTTCTCCAACATTCTCAGGCTCTAGAGGAACTCCCATGGGGTGTGTGGGGAGCCAGACCTGCCTTCCCCTCCTGGCCCTGGATCTACCTCTTGGGAATTCCACCTTATGAGGTTAGAACCTGTCACCAGGCTGCCCTGAACACCACTCCCCCTAAACACCACCTCTGCCTTTTCCTGCAGAGTACACTCAGCCAGAAAATGAAATTAAAGACTAGGCACAGTGGCTCACGACTGTAATACCAGCACTTTGGGAAGGCCAAGGCAGGTGGATCACTTGAGGTCAGGAGTTCAAGGCCAGTCTGGCCACCATGGTGAAACCCAGCCTCTACTAAAAATACAAAAATTAGCAGAGCACGGTGATGGCTGAGCCTGTAGGCCCAGCTTCTTGGGAGACTGAGGCAAGAGAATCACTTGAACCCAAGAGGTGGAGGCTGCAGTGAACCAAGATCACGCCACTGCACTCTAGCCTGGGTAACAGAGCAAGACTCCATCTCAGATTAAAAAAAAAAAAAAAGACCGGGCATGGTGGCTCATGCCTGTAATCCCACCACTTTGGGGGGCCAAGGCAGGCAGATCATAAGGTCAGGAGTTCAAGACCAGCCTGGCCAATATTGTGAAACTCTGTCTCTACTAAAAATACAAAAATTATCCAGGTGTGGTGGCAGATGCCTGTAATCCTAGATACTCGGGAGGCTGAGGCAAGAGAATCAAACCCAGGAGGTGGAGGTTTCGGTGAGCCAAGATGGCACCACTGCACTCCAGTCTGGTGACAGGGAGAGATTCTGCCTCAAAGAAAAACAAAAAGAAAAAGAAAGAAAAAAAGAAAATGAAATGTGAAAAATGTAATCATATTGACCTTTCCCTGGAAATAACCCCTCTTCTAAAGAGGGGCTATGTCACCCAGGGGCCCCAGAGTCAGAAAGACCCCAACCATGTAGAAGATGTGTTAGCCAAAAGGCTTCTTTCAAAGTCACCGCTGGGTCGGGCACAGTGGCTCATGCCTGTAATCCCAGCACTTTGTGAGGCCGAGGCGGGCAGATCACCTAAGGTCAGAAGTTTGAGACCAGCCTGGCTAACATGATGAAACCCCGTCTTTACAAAATACAAAAATTAGCTGGGCATGGTGGTGGGTGCCTGTAATCCCAGCTACTCAGGAGGCTGAGGCAGGAGAATCACTTGAACCCAGGAGGTGGAGGTTGCAGTGAGCCAAGATTGTGCCACTGCACTCCTGCCTGGGCAACAAGAGTAAGACTCCGTCTCAAAAAAAAGAAAAAGAAAAAGCCACCTCACCACACCACCCAGCTCAGTGACTTCACAGCAAATGGAGCAGGAGGCCTTCCTTGATCAGGCTGCCTTGTGTGGTTACATTTAGAAATACATGTAATTTTTTAAGAACCAGAGAGCAGAGCACAGAGGAATCAACAACATGTGTCCCGCTGCTTTGAGCAATCCCACTGATCCCTCAGGAAGTGCCACGTTTCACTCATTAGATGTGGCTCCACTGAACAAGCCACTCAGGCCCAACCTGAGGCTCCGTTTCACAATGAAATGGTCCCCCCAACTCCTCCATCACCCTTCAATAGACGTCAACTCACCTCCTTCCCTGTCTGTCAAGACAAGAGAGTGAGCTCGGCCACAGGCGACCTGCAGCACTCGTGTCTCCTGAGGTCTATCCAGAGGCAGGGGGACAGGTGAGGGCTCCAAAACATACTCGTAGCCCCTCGCTGGACAAAACACAGAACACTGATTGAGAGGCACGGCATTTCTAACACTGGAAATCAGACGGTGCAACGCCACACTACTACATTAGAAAACAGAGAGTCGGAGATAGGAAAGACTCATCAAGACGGGTAAGTTAGGGGCAGAGCGAGAACCACAAGTCCAGCTCCCAGCCCATGGCATGGACTGCCTCTACGACACAAAGCAGGTTACCAAAAAGCATACTTAAGTCTTCTTATTAAAGAAATCTTGGCCGAGTGCAGTGGCTCATGCCTGCAATCCCAGCACTTCAGGAAGCTGAGGTGGGTGGATCACGTGAGGTTAGTAGTTCGAGATCAGCCTGGCCAACATGGTGAAACCCCATTTCTACTAAAAATATAAGATTAGCCGGACGTGATGCAGGTGCCTATAGTCCCAGCAACTCAGAAGGCTGAGGCAGGAGAATCGCTTTAACCCGGGAGGCGGAGGTTGCAGTGAGCCAATATCGCACCACTGCACTCCAGCCTGAGAGACAGAGCAAGACACCATTTCAAAAAAAAAAAAAAAAAAATACAAAAATCAGCTGAGCATGACGGTGTATGCCTATGGTCCCAGCTACCAGGGAGGCTGAGGTAGGAGGATCACTTCCAGGTACTTCGGAGGCTGAGGTGGAAGCTCACTTCAGCTGGGGGATGAGGCTGTAGTGAGCTGTGATCATGCCACTGCATTCTAGCATGGGTGACAGAGCAAGCCCCTGTCCCCCCCAAAAAACTAAAAAATTAAACTGTTGGAATTTGCAATTTGCTTCAAATGTACGGAGGGAAAAGGTGGGAAAAAATGAAGAAAACGAGACTAGCATGAGTTGATGGCGGCTGAGGCTGGCGATGCTACACCACACTACTGTACATCTGAGACTGTCCCAAATAAAAGACATGAAAACACATGTGGCATCTCACAGCTAATAAAGACTTCAGTACTGACTTTGGGAGGCCAAGGCAGGTGGATCACCTGAGGCCAGGAGCTCGAAACCAACCTGGCTAACATGGTGAAATCCCCATCTCTAATAATAATCCAAAAACTAGCGGGGCGTGATGGCAGGTGCCTGTCCCAGCTACTCAGGAAGATGAGGCAGGAGAATCGCTTGAACCCAGGAGGCGGAGGTTGCAGTGAGCCAAGATCGGGCCACTGTACTCCAGGCTGGGTAAGAGTGAGACTCCATCTAAAAAAAAAAAAAAGACATCTGATACAAAATAAATGAAAAAAGAAAAGAAAACATATGCTATGATTAAAATATTATAAAAATGTATTTGCAACCAGGCATGGTGGCTCATGCCTGGAATCCCAGCACTCTGAGGGGCCGATGTAGGCAGATCATGAGGTCAGGAGTTTGAGACCAGCCTGGCCAACATGGTGAAAACCCATCTTCACTAAAAATACAAAAAACGAGCTGGGCATGGTGGCATGCACTTGTAATCCCAGCCACTCAGGAGGCTGAGGCAGGAGAATCGCTTGAACCCAGAAGGTGGAGGTCGTGGTTGAGCCGAGATCACACCATTGCACTCCAGCCTGGGTGACAGAGTGAGACTCCATCTCAAAAAAAAAAAAAAAAAAATTATATATGCCTGTGAACAAGGGAACAGGAAAAAATAAAAATGGTTTGTCAAGTATGTATTTCTGGGTATATCCTCCTTATTTTAGGAACTCTTTCTTCTTTTTTTTAAGAGACATGGTCTTGCTTTGTTGCCCAGGCTGGAATACAGTGGCACAATTATCACTCACTGCAGCCTCAAACTCATGGGTTAAAGCAATCCTCCTACCTCAGCCTCTTGAGTAACAGGGGTTACAGATGCATACCACCATGCTCAGCTAATTCTTTTTCATTTTCAGAGACAGGGTCTCGCTATGTTGCCCAGGCTGGTCTGGAACTCCAGGCCTCAAGCAATCCCTCCCACCTCAGCCTTCCAAAGTGCTGGGATTACAGGCGTAAGTCACTTGTGCCTGGCCTAGGAAATATTCCTTACTGTTCTCATAGTAATTTTTAGCTAATGTCTACTTTTCTGTTTGAGACAGAGTCTTACTCTTGTCACTCAGGCTGGAATGTAATGGCATGATCTTGGTTCACTGCAACCTCCACCTCCCATGTTCAAGAGTTTCTCATGCCTCAGCCTCTGAAGTAGCTGGAACTATACAGGCGCATACCACCATGCCCAGCTAATTTTTTCTATTTAGTAAAGATTGGTTTTCACCATGCTGGCAAAAAAAATTTTTAGTAGAGTGGTGGCAGGTACCTGTAATCCCAGCTACTCGGGAGGCTGAGGCAGAAAAATCACTTGAACCCAGAAGGCGGAGGCTGCAGTAAGCCGGCATCGTCCCACTGCACTCCAGCCTGGGCAACAGAGTGAGACTCCATTTCAAAAAAAAATAAAAAAAAAACAAAAGGGAGCTTTCTCAAACCAATCCCAGCAGAGGGGAAGCAGGTGCGGATGCTCACTCTTATCCTTCCGGCTCCTGTGAAATCCAAGCTGAGAATCTTTGTTGAGTCCCATCCCCCAAACTTTCGTAACATCAGTGGTCTTAGAGGACAGCAGTGTAAATCCATAGCCACAAGCAGCGGACGAAATCTGCAAAACAGTTCCCACAAAGCATGAACTGATTTGTAATGTCACGTTTTTTAGTAGTAAATGACAGGTTATTTATCAAATCCAAGAACACATACTATTTTGGGGGTTTTGTTTCTGTTTTTGAGATAGTCTCACTCTGTCACCCAGGCTGGAGTGCAGTGGTACAGTCTCAGCTCACTTCAATCTCCATCTCCCAGGTTCAAGCGATTCTCATGCCTCAGCCTCCCGAGTAGCTGGGACTACAGGTGTGTGCACCAAATCTGGCTAATTTTTGTATTTTTAGTACAGACGGGGTTTCACCATGTTGGCCAGGCTGGTCTCGAACTCCTGGCCTCAAGTGATCTGCCCACCTTGGCCTCCCAAGGTGCTGGGTTTACGGGCACAAGCCACTGCGCTTGGCCCAAGAACACATATTATCAATACGGCACCTAGCATTTATGGAGCATTTACTATACGCTTGGTAAGTATTAACTCATTTAATCTTTATAATCACTCTACGAAGGGTGATTTACATATAGACCATAAATCTAGTGGTAAATGCCAGCTTACCACTAGGTATTACCATCCCCCTTCACCAACACCAAGACACCATCTACCAGCCTATAATCCCAGCACTTTGGGAGGCTGAGGCGGGCAGATCACTTGAGGTCAGGAGTTCAAAACCCACTTAGTCAACATGCCAGGCAAGTCCTCCCCGAAGTCTGGCCACCAAGAGGAGCCAGAGCCGAACAAGTCGAGGGGGGCCGGGAGTGCCGAAGACAAGGAGGGAGCAAGCCGCGGCCCATACCTTTTGGTCCAGCTCCAGACGATAGGGCACAGGCTGGATCCTGCGGGGCGGCCGGGGGCCGGCACCGGGGCCGGGCCTGGAGCTGGGCACCACGAAGGTGGGCACGCCCAGCGCCCCTGAGAAGCTGAAGCCCCACACGAAGACACGATCGGCGCGAACAGCGCGCTCGCCCACGTACTGGAACACGGGCACCTCCGCCTCCGCTTCTGCCGCTTCGCGCCGGCTCCGCGAGCGCCTGGCCGCCGTCCAGTGCCCTCGCCCCGGCCCCGGCCCCGGCCCCGGCCCGCTCAGCCGCCGCACCAGCCGAGCCCCAGCCACCAACGAAACCAGCGCCATTCTCCGCTTCACGCCTCAGCGGCCGCTGGGCGCCGCCATCTTGCGTGACCCTTGACACCACGCCTCGGCGGAAGAGGCCGTGGCCACGTTTACTCCTGGTTGGAGGCAAAGGCGCTGAGGGCAGCCCACGGCTCAGGAAGGTGGGGCGGGGCCAGGGGGCGGGGCAATGATGAGGGGCGGGGTTAGAGGCGGGGCACGCAACCGAGATCATCGTCCCTTAACAAAACTCCGTGGCCTGCTATTGCCCTGCAACATTTCTCACCTGGCCTTGCTGCAGCCATCCCCGCTCCCATCTGCTCCTAAGACCATCCCAGGCCGTCCTCCAGCCACAGCGAGCAGGAGTAGGCGATTCCTGCTGCCTTGGGCCCAGGTCCCCTCAACCTACCACTCACCTTGAGACAGCTCACTGCAACCTCTCCCTTCCAGATTCAAATGATTCTCCTGCCTCAGCCTCCTGAGTAGCTGGGGCCACGGGCATGTGCCACCACGCCTGGCTAATTTTTGTATTTTCAGTAGAGATAGGGTTTCACCATGTTAGCCAGGCTGGTCTTGAACTCCTGACCTCAAGTGATCCACCCACCTCTACCTCCATCAGAACTTCTGCAGTCACACTGGCCCGAGTGCAAATCCCACTGCATATAAACTGCTACCAGCTGGCCGGATGCGGTGGCTCACACCTGTAATCCCAGCACTTTGGGAGGCTGAGGCAGGTAGATCACCTGAGGTCAGGAGTTTGAGACCAGCCTGGCCAACACGGTGAAACCCCGTCTCTACTAAAAATACAATAAATTAGCTGGGCGTGGTGGCAGGCACCTGTAATACCAGCTACTCTGGAGGCTGAAGCAGGAGAATCAGTCGCGTAAACCCGGAAGGCAGAGGTTGCAGTGAGCCGAGATCATGACAGTGCACTCCAGCCTGGGTGACAGAGTGAAACTCCGTCTCAAAAAAGCAAGCAAACAACAACAACAAAACTTATAAAAGAAAACCAAAAAATGCTGGGATTACAGGCATGAGCCACCGCGCTCAGCCTGTGCAGGCCTGTTTTATGGAAGGTGACTGGGGAAAGCCCAATGGTAAAATGTGGTTTCCACAAGACTGCTCCTGTAATTCATGAAGGCACTGAAACCACCCATCTGCTGGGCTATGAAATCTATTATCTGCAGTGGGCACAGTGGCTCTCGCCTATAATTCCAGCATTTTGGAAGACCAAGGTGGGAGAATCACTTGAGATTTCAAGACCAGCCTGAGCAACATAGTGAGACCCTTTCTCGACAAAATAGAAATAAAAATTAACTTGGTGTGGTGATGTGAACCTGTGCTGCCAGCTACTTGGGAGGCTGAGGCAGGAGGATGGCTTAAGCCCAGGAGTTCAAGGCTACACTGAGCCATGATTACACCACTGCACTCCAGCCAGGGCAACAGAATGAGACCCTGTCTCTAAAAAAAAAGAAAAAATTAAATTAAATGTAAATATAAAAGAGTAAAAATAAACGTGTATATGGACCCACCTGGTAGTAATTTCCCTGGCACCTAAGGACACATTTGGGATAGATACACTTAGCTACTCACATTGGTGCCCTTACCCTGTCTCTACCCAGCCGCTATTCAATCAGAACACACACTGTATTCCATACGGAATTGTAGGCACTAGTGCCAGCTTTGACAATGTAAAGGATTCAGAGGGTGGTGATTCCAGTCCAGTGGGTGGCTCCCTATTGAGTTCACCTGTTTGGCTCCTAAAACACAGATGGATTGTGGTAGGGGACATGAAACCGCCGTAATTTAAGCAACTGCATAGTCCAACTCGTAGCTGCTGTGTCAGGTGTGGCATCTGTGTGTGTGTGTGTGTGTGTGTGTCTTTTTTTTGAGATGGAGTCTCGCTCTGTCGCCTAGGCTGGAGTGCAATGGCGTGATCTTGGCTCACCACAACCTCCACCTTCCAGGTTCAAACCATTCTCCTGCCTCAGCCTTCCGAGTAGCTGCAACTACAGGCATACGCCACCACGCCCGGCTAATTTTTGTGATTTTTAATAGAAACAAGGTTTCACTATGTTGGCAAGGCTGGTCTCAAACTCCTGAACTCGGGTGATCCACCTACCTCAGACTCCCAAAGTGCTGGGGTTACAGGCGAGCCCCATTTTGCCCTGCGTATTTATTCATTTATTTATTCATTTTTTAGAGACAGGATTTGGCTCCACTTGAATTGATAAATCCGAAACACATCTTGATAAAGGAGAATTACATAAATATTATATAGTTAATATTAACAGTTAATATATGGAATATTTATATATTTATGAAATGTATACACAGTTCAGCTGGGTGCAGTTGCTCATACTTGTAATCCCAGAACTTTGGGAGGCTGAGGCAGAAGGACTGCTTGAGCCCAGGAGTTTGAGACCAGCCTGGGCAACATACTGAGACCTTGTCCCTATACAAAATTGAAAAATTAGCCTGGCGTGGTGGTGCCCGCCTGTGGTCCCAGCTGCTTAGGAGACTGAGATGGGAGGATTCTTGAGTCTGGAAGGTCGAGGTTGCAATGAGCTGTGTTTGTACCACTGCTCTCAGCCTGGGTGACAGAGCAAGACTCTGTCTCAAAAAAAAAATTATCAGGCCGGGCGCGGTGGCTCACGCCTGTAATCCCAGCACTTTGGGAGGCCGAGGCGGGTGGATCACGAGGTCAAGAGATCAAGACCATCCTGGTCAACATGGTGAAACTCTGTCTCTACTAAAAATACAAAAAATTAGCTGGGCACGGTGGCACATGCCTGTAATCCCAGCTACTCGGGAGGCTGAGGCAGGAGAATTGCCTGAACCCAGGAGGCGGAGGTTGCGGTGAGCCGAGATCGCGCCATTGCACTCCAGCCCGGGGAACGAGCAAAACTCCGTCTCAAAAAAAAAAAAAATTATCAACTGTCCTTTTATTAGCAGGACTGTCCTTTTATCTGAGTTTATGTCCTTCCTAGTTTTTTGATTTTCAACATCTGATTTTTTTTTAAAAAAAAAAAACAGGATCTGGCTCTTTCACCAAGGCTGAAGTGCAATGACACAATCTTGGTTCACTGCAACCTCCACCTCCCGGGTTCTAAGTGATTCTCCTACCTCAACATCCAGAGTAGCTGGGATTACAGGCACCCGCCACCACGCCTGGCTAATTTCTTATTTTTCGTAGAGACGGAGTTTCACCATGTTGGCCAACCTGGTCTTGAACTCCTGACATCAGGTGATCCACCCACCTCAGCCTCCCTAGTGCTGGAATTACAGGCGTGAGCGCCAGGCTCAACATCTGATCTTTTACAAACTCATAATGATGATAGGATAGTAGCTTTTAATTTTTTTTTTTTTTTAACTTGTCAATATTTTAATAACCCTATGTGAGTCTCTCAAATTTCTAAAACGTTTTACTGTTAAGGGACAGCCAAAAGACAGAAGCCTGGGTCTAGTCTTTTGAAGACAAAAGGACAAGCTGCAATGTGAGCCACAGCCACTGGGTGGCAATGCTTACCCACCAATTCTGTCTCCTAAGACAGGCCAAAACAGCCAGTCAAGACCTGCGTTTGTAGTCACAACTGGGCTTTTCTATTTCGCTATCAAAACTTGGTTGGTTTCGAGACTGGTTCCATGCTAGAAAATATTCGTATTTCTGGATGGGCACAGTGGCTCACGCCTGTAATCTCAGCACTTTGGGAGGCCGAGGCAGTGGATCACCTGAGGTCAGGAGTTCGAGACCAGCCTGGCCAACATGGTGAAACCCCCATCTCTACTAAAAACACAAAAAAAGTAGCCAGGCGTGGTGGTGCACATCTGTAATCCCAGGTACTTAGGAGGCCGAGGCACGAGAATCGCTTGAACCCAGGAAGCAGAGGTTGCAGTGAGCCAAGATCACCGCCACTGCACTCCAGCCTGGATGACAGAGACTCTAGCTTAAAAAAAATAAAAAATAAAAAACTTGGCTGGTTTTATAGACTGCTTCTGTGCTAGAAAATACTTGCATTTCTGTTCAAATTTTTGCTTGAAAAAGATGGTCCTACCGTCAAGCTGTCAGCTATCGCATAGTATCCAAATGTCTGCTGAAGTTAGCCCAGCTAATTTCTTTGCCACCTATGATGGCATTTTCCTGTACACATTTTAATTATTTTGATGTTTGATGTAGCTGAAATTCTCTAGTCTGGGAAAGAGTGAACTTAGTTAACGTTGCATTTTTGTTTGTCCATTTGTTTGTTTGAGACAGAGTCTAACTCTGTTGCCCAGGGTAGAGTGTGGTGGCGGGATCTTGGTTCACTGCAACCTCCGTCTCCCGGATTCAAGCAATTCAAGCAATTCTCCCGCCTCAGCCTCCCAAGTAGCTGGGATCACAGGCACCTGCCACCACACCCGGCTAGTTTTTGTATTTTTAATTGAGACTGGGTTTCACCATGTTGACCAGGCTAGCCTCCTTTGGGAGGCCAAGGCAGGCAGATCACGAGGTCAAGAGATCAAGACCATCCTGGCCAACATGGTGAAATGCCGTTTCTACTAAAAATAAAAAAATTAGCTGGGTGTGCTGGCGCACGCCTGTAGTCTCAGCTACTTGGGAAGCTGAGGCAGGAGAATCACTTGAACCTGGGAGGTGGAGGTTGCAGTGAGACCAGATCATGTCACTGCACTCCAGCCTGGCGACAGAGCGAGACTGTCTCAAAACAAAAAAAATGTCATATGGGTAAGGCAAAAGGTCTCACATGTACATCTTACCATAGAAAAAATATTATTTTGGCCAGGTGTCATGGTTCACATGTGTAATCCCAATACTTTGGAAGGCCAAAGCTGGAGGATCGCTTGAGGCCAGGAGTTTGAAACCAGCCTGGGCAACATAGTGAAACCCTGTCCCTACAAGAAAAGATTTAAAACTCAGCCAGGTGTGATGGTATATGCCTGTAGCTACTTGGGAAGCCCAGGCACGAGGACTGCTTGAGCCCAGGAGTTCAAGACCAGCCTGGGCAACATAGCAAGACACCATCTCAAAAAATAAAATAAATAAAACTTTTAAAAAATAATAATAAATAATGTTAATATACATACTCTAAGAGATGACCATAAATTAATTTTTAAAATGTGAATAGATGTTTTCCATAAATTGTGCTTCAATATTATGAGTAG